AAAATCCTAATTGCTCTTTATAAGTAAATCTCTTTGGCTTTGATTATGAACAATTGTGATACTTTTATTTTGAAAGTTTTGATCATCCACATCTAATATTTCTATCATTCATCAATTATGATTGTTCTGTTCTCTGTTGATTTTCAGATTGTGCTAGATACAAATATCGAAGCCTAGGAAGATCAAGAAGCGTCGATTCGGCAGGGAAGGAATATTATATTTTGATCAAGGTAAGAAAATAGACATATGTGTATTTAATCTATTTATATTATTTATTTATATTTTATATTTGTATTTATATTCAAATTGCAACTCTAATTGCAAAATCTGCAAGTGGTTGTAAACCAAAAAAACAAATATTTTTATTATGTCTAACAGAACAGAATATATGTATTTTTCATTCAAAATTAAATCTTCATCCTGTTTTTGTTTTACTAGTTTTAGAATATTTAGTTTAAAGAAATATGAATTCACAATTAGGATTTGTAATTTAAAATTGCTGAAGTAGTGTTATTATAAAATCCTACTTTCGTATGATGTAAACACAGAGCCATGTACTCACCACGAAACTGCCCACATTTCATACAAACTTAGGATCTCGCATACGTGTAAGCGAGACATATTTATTTTATTACAACAGAAGTTAAAATAACACAAAACGTGAGGAAGCAATAACACAACGGCCAAACGAAACAAAACTAAGTGTTCCACAACGGATTCGATATGAAATCTTTAACTATAAAACATTGATCGAATTTTGGGTACAATGATAGGTGATTTATATATATATATATATATATATATATATATATATATATTAATGGCAATCAGAACCTAACTAGTCCTATGAGCTGTTGTGCAGACTTTTTAAACGACGTGATTTGATAGAAGGCAATCCAAAAGGTTGTGCTGCCTATATTATTAATTTATTACTACAATTCATGCAATACTGATGCAATTTTTTACTGGGCAGGCTAAGGGTAGAATATTGCTATTTATATTTTCACGCGAAAACCGATGCCAATACTGCTTGACATAGGGCTGGCAGATTCCGATGTAGAACCTGGAATATCTGATTGGAAGTCTGTAGCTAATAGATGAAAATAATATTGAATCATGTAGATCGCGTATTCTTGAATCATTTGCTTATCAATGAAGTGATTCATAACCACGTTCCACAATATGTGTCCTGGCATATTTTAAATCGTCCTTGGTCAGCAGACTTTTTATGTAGCATGTTTTATATATTAGAGGAGCCAATTGATGGAGAACATAGACAAAAATGAAGTAAATGATAAAGACATAATTTGAAACATGTTTAAAAATTGTTTACTGAAAATATAATTTATAATGTAGTGGAATACTTTTCCGTGAAAGCTGTAATAATTTAAATACAATATAAGAAGTTGAAATTTGATATTTTTCAATATCAATTTGGAATCTTCAAACATCATGTATCTAACCGTATTGTTGTTGTCTCAATTAATTGGCAACTGAAAAGCATAAATGCTTGAAGAAACATGTTCATATCTTATAGGATGCTAAAAATACATCATGACCTAATTTTAATTACGTTTTGTTAAAGTTGCTGTAATCGAATAATAATTTTATGCACGGATTGTAAATAGTTTGGATTGTCAATTAAATTAATCTTTGCGGGTTTCAAGTGGTTTCATTTTTATTAGAGTTAATATTAATACGTTTGGTATCAAATATAATATGTATAGATTCATATTATATTTACAAGTTATAAAAAGATAAAATATTTGCTTGGAATTTGTTTCAATCTAAAAGTATTTTTGCATCAATTGCAAATTCGATGCAAAAAATTCATATGCGGAAAATTTATTTGTACGTTAATGCTTCAAAGAAAGGTTAAATGTTTGGGTCGCCGTGAAAAGAATCCGCTCTGCGAAGATCATCACAAACAGGGAAATGGCAATAAAATTATAAATAGAGATAAGAAAAAACGCAAGGAATAAACTATTCACACATAATAGTTGAACATTCCATCTTTTTGCCAAAGCTTTCCGACGCTCGGGTCCTATGCCTCGTAGAGGGGCGAACTGAATTATTTTTGGTCTAACCATGTCGCTCCGCCCATTTCGGAGAGCGATGCAATATTGTGGCATTATCGCGGCCACTCTTCGCTAACGATTCACAATCGACCGACGTCTTGGATTTCTGACAAGTCACTTAAAAAAAGAATAAATGTTAAATTGGATTTAACGGGGTGATATGTGACTTGAATCTGCTGACAACGAATAAAACGATAATTTAAAAAATATAGTGCAGAAGAAAATTTAATGATATTTGGAAGAAAAAAGTTGTGCTGTGAAAACAAGCGAGAGTGTATTCTAGTGATCGCAGACCAAAGGGAAAAACTATCGTGAACGATAAAATTGTTTGGATTTGTTGTTGAGAAAGTGTGTGTTTTATTGTGTTGGAAGTGATAACAAAGGTAAATAGCGATATTAGTGCGTTAACGGAAAAGACGGTGTGTGAAAATGCACCGTCAAAATTCGAAGCAGCTGTCTCAGGAAGAGCAGCGACAAGTTTATAGCAGTCATGAGGAGCAGACGCATCGGACGCATCAAACGATGCAGCAGCAGCAGCAATTTAGCCAAATGGAGCATCGCACTGTCACCAGACAAGTTACTAGTCAGCAGAGAGGTCAGGAATTATAATCCTATTCAAATCTATATAGTATTCCATTATTCAAAAATATCGAGTACATCACTTATAAAGATCAGTCATTTACAATAATATTATGATTGCCTATAGTAACCCTGAAATCTTGTCAAATGAAATCGTTGATAATAAATGATATCAGCAATGTAATTTAATTAATTTCATATTGCTTTTTAATTCGCATACCATATGTAATTATATTTTCAAAATGAATTAAATTAGTTACTAAAAAGAAATGTTAATATCAGCAAAGTATAATTATTTTGCTTTTGTGTGATGTCTCCTGGGCGGATGCTCCTAAAACGGTCCTCGTAATACGATCCGCAGTGGCGTACGAAATAGCCGAATGGCTGCGTGCCAACGATATTCATTACTTGCGCCATCAGTGGCTCTCAAATGATATGCTGTATTTATTTATTTATAATTGTATATAATCATGAATCGGCTAAAATAAATAAATAAAGATTTTACTAAAAAATAATGAACAATTTTTATCGATGAAAATTACGTATATGTCTCTATAATGAATATTTTATTGATTGTTTACGAAGATTTGTTTTAATATTATTTATATTTATATCTTTATTAACATTTCACATAAAGTTTGTACTGCAAGCGTATTATGAATGGAAGTTTATGACTTGCACATTTTTCTGGATTAGACTTGCAATTGTAGTGCATCTAATTGTGTACGGTCTATATTTCTGTAGATATTTATTTTTATTGTGTATATTGTTGAATCTTAAAACATTAACTTATCGGTGTTCAGATAATTTGAGGAAAAACAAAACATAATATTATCAAATAAAGTTTGAACGTATGCAATAAATTTAAATTTCAAATAATAATATTAATTAAATTTATTTTTAGTTCAAGGAGGAATGATTGCTCAGGATATTTCTCAGCAATTAGGCTCAAGCGGTATGTCGCCACCAGTGTTTGAACAGATTTTCAAGAACGCGCGCTTTGCACAAGGCGGAAATGCCTTATTCGAGGGACGATTGCGTGGAAATCCAAAACCTGTTGTGTCTTGGACACGCAAAGGCTTGCCCATGGTCGAATCCAGCAAGTATCGCATGAGCTACAACGAAAGCACAGGTGATGTGTCGTTGCTCATCAATCAAATCGGACCAGGTGATGAAGGTGAATATACATGCACTGCCCGAAACAACTACGGTGAAGCCATATGTTCAGTTTTCATACAACCGGAAGGCGTTCCTATGCCAAGCATTCAAACATCTTTGCAAAAAGAGCAAACTTTTCAGACTTCGCAAAATAGAATGGATTCACAATCATACCGCTATCAACATATGACGGAAAATTCATTCACAAATGGTCATACTCAGTACTCTCGGTATGAAGATTTTAAAGTAGACACATTTGAATATAGATTGTTACGTGAAACATCATTTAGAGAATCCATAACACGGCGCTATTCTGGCGAATCTGATGCACAATTGTGTGGTACAATAGATCGTACACTTGGACCGGCAGCACCTCCTCAAATATCGCAGAAACCTCGCAATTCAAAACTCCAAGAAGGTTCTGATGCTGTTTTTACTGCTAAGGTTGGTGCAAATCCTAAACCTAGACTAACATGGTTCCGCAATGGACAAAGAATTGTACAATCTGAGAAATGTGAAACTTCATATTCTAACAATCAAGCTAGTCTCCGAGTACGCCAAATAACATCTGAAGATTCAGGACATTATACTCTTTTGGCGGAAAATCCTCAAGGATGTGTTGTATCTTCTGCTTTTCTTGCTGTTGAGCCTGTTCTCGATGGCCATGGCACCGAACAGATGATTAAGCCATCTTATCATGAACCGGAGGAAACAGACGCTTCGGCTAAAGCTTTAGCCCCTAACTTTATTCGGGTTTGTCAAGATCGCGAAGCTACCGAAGGTAAAATGACCAGATTTGATTGTCGTGTTACGGGCCGCCCCTATCCTGAAGTCACTTGGTTTATAAATGAGCGTCAGGTGAACGATGATGCTACTCATAAGATTCTTGTCAATGAGTCCGGAAATCACGCTTTAATGATAACTAACGTACACCGTTCTGATAGTGGAGTAGTAACATGCGTAGCTAGAAATAAATGTGGAGAAACTTCATTCCAATGCCAGCTCCACGTTATCGAGAAAGAACAAGTTATCGCACCTAAATTTGTGGAAAGATTTAGTACAGTAAACGTAAAGGAAGGAGAACCTGTTATACTAAATGCTAGAGCTGTTGGAACACCAGTTCCTAGAATAACATGGCAAAAAGATGGCGTACCTTTGATGCAGAGTGCCGATGTAAAGATCACCACTGATGGCGGTGCTTCGAAACTGGATATCTACAGAGCCAAGGCGTCGGATGCGGCGTGGTACCAGTGCACCGCACAAAATGTGGCTGGCTCTACGGCCACTCGTGCCAGACTTTATGTTGAGACTGAGAAAGGTGTCACCCCAGAACCATGGCGATTGCATTTACCAAGACCAACTAAAGTTATCGAACCAGAGTGAGTGATTGGGAATAAAATGTTTAATGCGATATTTATTCCATACTTCACGGTGTTTTTATTTTAGACCTGTTCCTGGACCTGAAGTAATATATTTAAGGCACGTCGAACGCGCAAAACCTCGTACTGCACCTGGTGAAGAAGACCGAGTTTATCCACCGCCCCAATTTATTATTCCATTAAGGGACTTGTCGCAACTCGAAGGTGGTCGTGTACATTTCGAAGCGCGAATTGAACCTGTAGGAGATCCAACAATGTATGTTGAATTTTATCTCAATGGAAAACTCCTTGAAGCAAGTAAGTGTACAAGATGTATATTACATATTCTGCATGTTAATATTTTGACTTCGCTAACTTAATATCTTTTGCCGTTATGTTATATATATATATATATATATATATATATATATATATATATATATAGAATAATGGAAATAGGATTAAATAGTTGAATGTGAATTAACTGTATTTTATTCCTAGGTTCTCGATCAACAACGACTTTCCGATTTGGCTTTATTGCTCTTGATTTAATTGGAATAATGGTTCATGATGCCGGTGAATATGTTTGCCGCGTTGTTAGCTCAACTGGCGTCGCTGAATCGAGTGCTATTCTTAAAGTTACTGCGAAGGCTTCTATAGAACAAACTTCTCAACATCCTTCTAGTCTTCAATACATCGAGCAACTTGAAGATTACTCGCGTTATCAACGAAGCGAGAGCACTGAAGAGACATCTGCTCAACGCCCAGTCTTCATCCGCCCGCTCCAAGAATTAGGCGAATTGCCAGAGGGTCGCAATGCGCATTTCGAAGCACAACTTACGCCTGTCAGCGATCCAACGATGAGAGTGGAGTGGTACAAGGATGGAAAACCAATTACGGCTAGTTCACGGATAACATCAATCTTCAACTTCGGCTACGTCTCCCTTAACATCATGCACCTACGGGCCGAAGATGCTGGTTCATATACAGTCCGAGCCGTCAATCGTTTGGGTGAAGCTATTAGTACGAGCACTTTGCGAGTACAGGTAAGAAGCACAGTCACAGGAGATTTAGGTATACCAGAGCAACAGCGCTATATCGAGAAAGTAGAAGAGTTAGAAGCATATCAAAATTATCAGCAATCCAAGTATGTCCAGGAGGTACAAGAATGTACTGTACCTCCAGACTTTAAGAGTCCGATTAAAGATCAGCTAAATATTAGAGAAGGAGGGTTCGCGCATTTTGAAGCTCGTTTAGAACCTGTAGGGGATTCCAGTTTACGAGTAGAGTGGCTGAAAGATGGCAAACCAGTTGAAGCAAGTTCCAGGATTACTTCTTTCTTTAATTTTGGCTATGTAGCTTTGACAATAAAATACGTCACTGTCAGAGATTTTGGAAATTACACGTGTCGTGCTTATAACGCAGCTGGCCAAGCATTCACTTCCGCTAATCTTACAGTACTTAGCAAAAAGGACATTATTCAAGACAGTCAACATCCTGGAGGTCTTGAAAAAATACAGCAATTAGAAGATTCGAGTAGATATATGCGTACTAGTCATGAAGAGCAAACAGTAACACAGAAACCGCGCTTCCTGGGGCCGCTAAAAGGTACAACAAAGATAGTGGAGGGCCAAAGAGCCCATTTCGAGGCCAGAGTAGAACCGCAGAATGATTTGACAATGAAAATTGAATGGTATCATAATGGCAAACCTTTGTCGACAGCTAATAGAATACAAACCTATCATGATTTTGGATATGTAGCTCTAGATATCGAGTCCGTTAGAGCTGAAGACGCAGGTGGTTATACAGTAGTTGCTCGCAATGCTTTAGGAGAGGCACAACTTGCAAATACGATGACTGTAGAAAGTAAGCCACTAAGATTAATTGTATTAATTTTTATTAACTATGTTAGGCATAACTTCAAATATCTTATATATTTTCAGCTCGTTCCAGTATTGATACAGCAAGCATGCATCGTGGAGCTTATGAAAAAACAAGAAAATTGGAGGATTCTAAATTTATTGAACCGCAATACCAAATTGAAGAAATTTCAAAATCTAAGCCAGTATTCGTGCAGCCTCTATCTGATCCAAAGCCTGTAAGTGAAGGTAAAAACATACATTTAGAGTGCCGTTTAGAGCCAATGGGTGACCCAACTATGAGAGTGGAATGGTTCCAAAACGGTCGTCCAGTAACCGTTGGATCTCGTTTTCGAACATACTATGATTTTGGGTTTGTTGCATTGGATATTATTCATGCAACTTCTATCGATTCTGGAGAATACACCGTACGCGCTACCAACCATCTTGGAAGCGCTCACACATCTGCATGCGTACGCGTTATTGGACGTTCAGATATTGATACTGAAACACAACACGAAATGTCACTAGAACAAATACAGATGCTAGAGGATGCTTCAAGACAACGACGTACTCTTCAAGAAGATATCACTGTTATGCAAGCTCCACATTTTACTCGTCCATTACACAACATCGAAACCATTGAGGGCACCAATGTTCACATGGAATGCAGGCTTCAACCTGTTGGAGATCCCACCATGAAAGTTGACTGGTTTGTAAATGGACACCCTGTTAAAACAGGTCATAGATTCCGACCGGCTTACGACTTTGATTATGTTGCACTCGATTTACTAAGTGTATATCCTGTGGATTCAGGTGTATACACCTGTCAAGCCAGAAATCAATTAGGCGAAGCTGTGACATCTTGTTCAGTACGTGTTATTGCCAAGAAAGATTTAATAACTGAATCGCAACACCCAAGTGGTTTGGAGAAAATTCAATATTTAGAAGATTCTTCACGATATAAAAAATCTGAGTACATGGATGAATTAATTACAGTAAAACCCCGTTTCGTAACAAAACCAAAGAATTTGAATAATATGCGTGAGGGTCAGCATGCGCATTTCGAATGCAAGTTAGAACCTGTGACTGATTCTAACTTAAAGGTTGAATGGTACAAAAATGGCCGTCCGGTAACAGTAGGTCACAGGTTTAGACCAATACACGACTTTGGTTACGTTGCTTTAGATATTGTAGATCTAATTGCCGAAGATTCGGGTACCTATACTTGCCGAGCTGTTAACGCGATCGGTTCAGATGAAACAACTTGCACTTTGCAATGTAGTGTATCAGCCACTATTCAAACTGGAACTCAAAATGAATCAGGATTACAACAAATTCATTATTTGGAAGATAGATCTAAATATCAAAGATCCGAAGAAGTAGAAGAAGTCACAAAGCAGGTGCCAATATTTACAACATCTCTCAAAAATGTTGAAATTAAGGAAGGACAAAGAGCCCACTTTGAGTGTCGATTGATACCTGTTTCAGATCCAACTATGAAGGTCGAGTGGTACCATAACAATATTCCAGTTAAATCAGGATCTAGATTTACTGAGACAAATAATTTTGGATTTGTGGCATTGGATATAATGCAATGTATGGCTGAAGATTCTGGTCAATATACATGCAGGGCAATTAATGCATTGGGTGAAGCCGTTACATCCGCAGTAGCTATAGTTCATACTAGAAAATCCATTTACATGGAATCACAGCATGAAGGCGCTTTGAAAACTATTACTCATCTTGAAGATTCATCCAGATATAAGAGACAAGGTATTGAAGAAGAGATTATTACTCAAGCGCCAGTGTTTACAACACCAGTGCGAGATTTGAAAGTTGCAGAAAATCAAGCAGCTCACTTCGAGGCGCGCTTGATTCCAGTAGGGGATCCTAAGATGCGTGTTGAATGGTTGCGTAACGGTGTACCGATCGAAGCATGTAAGTGCTACATTATTTAACAAATTTCAATATGACTAGATGTTCTTTATTGATATGATGTTATAAATTTATAGCAAATCGTATGACAACTATGCACGACTTTGGCTATGTTGCTCTTAATATGAAGTACGTTAATCCTGAAGATTCTGGAACATACACATGCCGCGCTGTTAACGAGCTGGGGCAAGCTGTTACTTCAGCACAGCTAATTGTTCAATGTATGTATATAGTTTAGATGAGGTTACTAATTCAATTTATCCTAATTTTTAATTAGTATATCATATGTATATCCATTGTAGCCAAGGCTTCTCTACAATTGGAAACTCAAAATGAAGCGGCATTACAGAAGATCCATCAACTGGAAGATCATACAAAATATACTAGGCGTGAAGAGGAAGATATTGTTGTTCGAGATGCGCCTCGATTTGTTGCACAGCTTAATGGTCCAACAAGTCGGGTGGAGGGCCAGAGCGCTCACTATGAATGTAGAATTGAGCCATACCCAGATCCAAATCTTAAAGTTGAATGGTTCCATAATGGCAAACCTTTGCAAACTGGACATAGATTTAGAACATCATATGACTTTGGATTTGCATCTCTAGATGTTTTGACTGTGTATGGTGAAGACTCTGGACAGTATACCTGTAAGGCTACCAACAGGTTGGGAACTGCTCAATCCTCCATCAACTTGAGTGTTCAACGTATGTTATGAAATTGTTTTTACTTGTTTAGAGTTTACTTATTTATTAAAAACTTTTATTTTACAGCCAAATCCTCTATAATTTATGATACACAACATGAGGGTGCTTTACAGAAGATACAATATCTTGAAGACGATTCTCGTCATAAGAGAAGTGCAACTGAAGATCAATTTATATCAGAGAAACCTCAATTTGGTCGCCCACTACGCAACGTGGAAACTGTGGAAGCAGCAGCAGTTCATTTAGAAGCTACTTTAACACCAGTTAACGATCCGACTATGAAAGTTGAATGGTATTGCAATGGACGACCCATCAAACAAGGTCATAGGTTCAAAACAACTTATGATTTTGGCTTTGTTGCTCTTGATATTTTATATGCATACCCCGAAGACTCAGGAACATACATGTGCAAAGCAAGAAATGCAGCTGGGGAAGCAGTCACTACAAGCTCTGTTAATATCACAGGTGAATATAATATAATTTTACAGTTAATATTTAATTGGTGATTGTATAATTATTTTGATAATAATTTATGTTTTTAGCCAAACAAGGACTTTACTTGGACACATTAGATGAACAGCGCTTGAAGAAAATAAAAGATTTGGAAAATTATGAACGACCACAAAAGGCTGAAGTTGAACCAGAAGGCCAAAGACCAGTATTTTTGACACCACTTGTCAGTTTAGAGAATCTGAAGGAAGGTGAACACGCACATCTTGAATGTCGTGTGCAACCCATCAATGATCCAAATTTGAAAATCGAATGGTTCATTAATGGAAATCCAATACGAGCAAGTCATCGTTTCCGAACTACACATGATTTTGGCTATGTCGCTCTTGATATATTACATACTTATGGAGAAGACTCAGGCACATATATGTGCAAAGCTTCCAACTTATTAGGAGAAGCTGTCAACACTTGTACAATTAAAGCTGTTAATCGTCGTAGTATCATATTCGATACACAGCATCCTGATGGTTTGGAAAAAATAAGAGAATTAGAAGCACAAGGTCGTCCTGCTAGATTGGAAGTAGAGGAACCTGTTGTGACTCCGCCAAAATTAGTCGCTGATCTCAGAGGAACTACTGATCTGATGGAAGGTCAAACTGCGCACTTCGAGTGTCAAGTTGAACCTATACATGATCCAAATTTAAGAATTGAATTTTACCACAATGGAAAACCATTACCTTCTGCAGCACGATTCCATATAACATTTGACTTTGGTTATGTTGCTTTAGACATACAGCACGTCGTGCCAGAAGATGCCGGCGAATATTCAGTAAAAGCCATTAACGCATTGGGTCAATGTACCTCTTCCCTAAATATGAGGGTTACGGCAAAGGAAAATATTATTCTAGAATCACAGAGACCTGAAGGACTTGATAAAATTAGAAAACTAGAAGAAATGCAGCCATTTAAACGTCCTGAAATTCCAGATCCAGTAACCAGACAACGACCTGTGTTTACACAGCCTCTCAAGAACATTGATTCAATCGGTGAAGGCCAAACAGCTCATTTTGAATGCAGGTTGATTCCAGTTGGTGATCCAACTTTGAAGATTGAATGGTTCAGAAATGAAAAACCTTTGGAGGATAGCTCTCGCATTACTACCACACATGATTTTGGATATGTGTCAATGGATATAACACATGTAAGGGATGAAGATGAAGGAGTTTATATGTGCCGCGCGTCGAATCCATTGGGCGAGGCTGTTACAACTGCTTCTATGAAAATCAAGAGTAAGTTTTCTAGTACATACGCTTTTCTACTACATTCAATTTTTTGAAACTGTAGAAAATAAAGAGATTATTATGTCCTTTTAGGTAAAGCTAGTATTCAAATGGAAACACAACATCCAGAAGGAATGAAGAAAATACAACAATTAGAACAACCCGTGTCCGCTAGACCAGAAGAACCAGAACGAGATTTTGAAAAACCCATTTTCACTCAGGTTCTAACAGGTCCGTCTGAATTATGGGAAGCTCAGCATGCTCATTTTGAAGCACGCGTTGTTCCAGTCGGCGATCCTAGCATGCGTTTTGAGTGGTATGTGAACGGAGTGGAATTAAAAATGGGTAAATATTCTTTTTATATCATATATTTATTAGTTTAAATCATAATTTAGTTTTGATGCAGAATCTATTGCAATTAATACTTAAATTTCAGGATCTCGCTTCCGAACCACACACGATTTTGGTTTTGTAACATTGGATATAAATTCAGTTGTTCCTGAAGATGCTGGTGTTTACATGTGCAAAGCTATAAATAAGGCTGGCGAAGCAGTTTCTTCAATTAGTATGAAGGTTAAGTCTCGTTCATCGATAGCAGGAGAAACATTAATGCCAGAGGCATGGCAGAAGATTCAATTGAAGGAAGCCGCAATGAATCGCGTTCCTGAAATGTTTGTTGATACAACACCACAACAGGCACCAGTATTCACTACTCATTTACAAAGTTATGACAATTTGCATGAAGGGCAACATGTGCATTTAGAAGCTCAAGTTGAACCCAGAGCCGATCCCAATCTCCGCATTGAATGGTTTAAAAATGGAGTCTCATTGACTACTGGCACAAGAATAAAAAGCACATTCGACTTTGGTCTTGTTACCCTTGCAATTAATGGACTACGGGATGACGATTCAGCTATTTATACATGCAAAGCAACCAATTTACTTGGTGAAGCAGTATCTACATGCACGCTGAAGGTTCATGATAAACATTGGTTATTAGGAGAAACTTTACATCCAGATTCTCTACCTAGAATAGGTGCATTGGAACAGCCTCGGGGACAAAAAGCAGAAGCTCCAGAGCCTACATATGAAGTGCCAGTATTTATTACTCATTTAAACAATGTTGTATGTAAAGAATCTGAAAATGTGCATTTCGAATGTAATGTAGAACCATCAAAAGATCCAAATATGAAAATTGAATGGTTTGTTAATGGTAAGCCATTGCCACATGGAGCTAGGTTTAAAACTACGTACGACTTTGGTTATGTAGCATTAGATATTAACCATGCTTATGAAGAAGATTCTGGAATATACACATGCAAAGCTACTAATAATAAAGGTTCGGCATCTACATCAGGATCATTGAAATGCACTAGTGCTGCTAATATTTACTTGGATACTCAGCATCCACAAGGAAAAGTAGGTTTAGAAGCTGTCCAGGAAGCTGATGAAGCCGCAGCTAATAGACTAAAAAGACAAACTTCGAAACCTGATGCTGAATTTGGAAAACCAATATGGACTGTGCCATTTACAGCTGAATTCAAATTAACTGAAGCTGACAGTTTGCACTTGGAAGGGCAAGTAGAACCAAAGCATGATCCTAACTTAAAAATTGAGTGGCTACTTAATGGTAAAGTTTTAGAGCATGGATCTCGCTTTAAAATGACAAGTGATTTTGGTTTTGTGACATTAGATCTAACGGAGGTATACGATCGGGATCAAGGAATCTATACTTGTCGCGCATATAACAAAGCCGGTGAGGCCTTTACTTCATCGACAATATATTGCACAAGCAAGGATAATTTAATAGAAAGAACACAGCATCCTAAGGGTAAAGAAGGTTTAGAAAAGATTCAAGATTTGGAGGAATCTCTCCGTCCAAAAGAACCTGGTGCACCAGAGGCTGATGAAGGACGTGCACCTAAGTTTACATCAGAATTTACTAGTCTCAAAAATGTTAGCGAAGGAGAAATTGCTCATTTTGAAGCATCATTGATACCAACTGGAGATCAATCAATGGTCGTCGAATGGTTCTACAATGAAAAACCATTAGATGCAAGTCATCGTTTTAGAACTGTCTATGCTTTTGGCATGGTTGTATTAGAAGTTCTAGGAACAAAAATAGAAGATTCTGGAACTTACTCATGTCGTGCCACCAATAAATGGGGAAAAGATGAAATATCTGTAGAACTTGAATGTGTGGATAAATCATCTGGACAAAAACCAAGGTTTACGACACAGATTCAAAATTTAGTTGGATTGAAGGATGGTCAATCTGCACATTTCGAATGCACGCTTGTGCCTGTTGGAGATCCTAACATGAAAGTTGAATGGTTCCATAATGGTAAACCTTTGAGACATTCAACCCGCATCAAACCTGTCTCTGATTTTGGATTTGTTTTGATGGATATAGCTTATGTTCAAAGCCATGACTCTGGTGAATATGTTTGTCGTGCTAGCAATAAGTACGGTGAAGATACTACAAGAGCCACAATCCAATGCTTTGGAAAAGGTGGAGTGTATCTTGATAGTTTACAACCAGATTCATTGGCTAAAATTCGTGAGTTAGAAGGATTACACGGATCAGTACCGCAAGAGCAGTCCGCACCTGTAACGGAGCCACCGAAGTTTATAACACAAATTGCAGATGTAACAAAATTAGTTGAGGGACAAAGTGCACACTTTGAAGCCAGGTTAACACCAGTTACAGATCCCGATTTAGTTGTCGAATGGTATTACAATGGAAAGAAATTACCTCATGGACATAGATATAGAACATTCCATGATTTTGGAATAGTCATTCTGGATATTTTATATTGTTACGAAGAAAATTCTGGAACCTATGAATGCAGAGCATATAATAAATATGGAGAAGATTCTACTAAAGCAACACTGAAATGTGTGTCGAAGGCTAATTTAATCTTGGACTCGCAACTACCGCGGGTAAGTACACTATAATTTATTCTGAGAATTACTCATTAGATGATATTAATATAAATATTTTGATTTTTTTCGCTGTGTAGGGCATGGAAGGTGGATTAGAAAAGATACAGAATCTAGAAGACTCTTTAATAAAGACGCGCGATGAGCGTGCTAGTGAAGAACGTGGTAAAGCACCCGTGTTTACTTCTCCACTTACAAATATTGATAACTTACGCGAAGGCGAAAGCGCTCACTTCGAAGCCAGATTGATTCCAACAGATGATCCAAAATTGAAGGTATTTAGTTATCATTGTACTATATTATATTATGCCCGTGATTAAATCATTGTAATTTTTGTTTCTTGTACGCAGGTTGAATGGTTCTGGAATGGAAAACCTCTTAAAACTGGATCAAGGTTCCGCACGTTCTGTGATTTCGGTTTTGTTATTTTAGAAATTTCCCCAGTTTATCCTGAAGACTCTGGCGAGTACTCATGCCGTGCTTTTAATGATTACGGTGAAGCAGTTACCACAGCTACAATGAATATTCAAGGTAAAAGAAGCATTATATTTGAATCGCAGTTGCCTAAGGGCATGGAAGGAACGATTGACAAAATCGCAGAACTGGAAGGTCTTGGGCATTTGCCAAGCCCGCAAATACCAGAAGATGACTCCGGTAAACCTCCAGAATTTATTACAACTCCTTCAGATCTTACATTAAATGAAAATTCATTAGCACACTTTGAATGTCGGTTAATACCAGTAAACGATCAAAGCATGCGTGTGGAATGGTTCCACAATGGTAAACCTTTGACAACCGGTTCAAGAATTAAAACAATCAATGACTTTGGCTTTGTTATTCTTGAAGTAGCTGGATGCTATCAAAGAGACTCCGGATTATATACATGTAAAGCGACGAATAAACATGGTGAAGCATCTGTTTCTTGCAAATTACAAGTTCGAGGACGCCAAGGTATAATTCTTGAGCCACAATTACCGAATAACTTTAGAACGGGCACTGAAAGCATTCAGAAATTAGAAGAAGCTCTACACAAAAAGGAAGAAATTATGACCGATGAAGAAAAACCAGATCCACCAAGATTTATTGTAGAATTGAAGGATGTGTTGGATGTTCAAGAAGGCGGTCCGATTCATTTTGATTGTAGAGTTGAGCCTGTTAGCGATCCAACTATGAGAATTGACTGGTTCCATAATGGAAGACCTTTTGCTACCGGATCCAGGGTACACATGGTAAACGATTTTGGTTTTATATCATTGGATATGTCATATACTTACGCAAGGGATTCTGGTGAGTATATATGTCGAGCTACCAACAAATGGGGTTCAGCAACTACAAAAGCAACGATCACTTGCAAATCAAAACGAGACATAATATTAGAGTCTCAGTTACCGCAAGGCATCAGCGGAGAAAAATTGAAAGAACTTGAACGAGGACCTGTTACAGAAGCTCACAAAGAAGACAAACCTATGTCACCACCAAAATTCATAACCCAAATTGAATCTGTCACAATAGATGAGTCAGAAAGTGTTCACTTTGAATGCAGAGTTGAACCTAAAGATGATCCTAGGTTACGCGTGGAGTGGTACAGAAATGGAAAACCTTTGCCAACAGGGCACAGATTTAAAACTGTCTACGACATGGGTTTTGTGTCTTTAGATATTCTTTATGCATATGCTGAAGACTCTGGTGAATATGTATGCCGGGCTGTAAATGATTTAGGAGAAGACACAACAAGGGCCAATATCTCATGCAAAAGTAAAAACCCCATTTGTATTATTTAGTTATTATTTTGTATTTGAAGTAATACATATTATTTTATTGTTTCAGAATTGCCATCAATTATTTTGCAAAATCAAGTACCGAAAGGCATGAAGCGATCTGAAACATTAATGCAAATGGAAGCTACTATTAAAAAGTATACATCTGAAATATTCTTAACTGAAGAAGATCTATATGACCCTGATAAAAAGCAACCTCCAAGATTTGTAACACAAATTCAGGATCAGACAACGCTTGTGGAAATGCAATCCACCAAATTTGAATGCCAACTTGCTCCAGTTGGAGATCCGAACATGAAGGTTGAATGGTTCCTAAATGGCAAGCCTTTACCTCACAGTAAGTTATTATTATCCAACTGATTTTCGAGAATATACAAGTCTTTGTGTTCAATATAAATCTTGTAATTTGAAATTTAATATTTTAGAAAATCGTTTCACGCCGATATATGACTTTGGATATGTTGCTATGAATTTTGGCTGGGTCTACCCCGAGGATAGTGGAGAGTATTTATGCAGAGCAACAAATCTTTATGGTATGGATGAAACTAGAGCGATTATAAAAACTGCTGGTAGACCAGGAATCATATATGATTCACAACTTCCCAAACATATGAAGAGCATTGAAAGAATTAGGGAGATGGAAGCAGCTTGGCAAATGTATGTGAAAAATCTCTTTAAAAATTTCTTAGTTTTTGAATTATTTCATATTTTTCATAATATTTTTCAGTGTGCCGGACGAACCTGATGAAGAATCTAAACCTAAATGTGCACCTGTGTTTGTTAGCAAACCAGAACCCTGCACAACGGAAGAAGGCGAATGGGCTAGATTCTGCTGTAGAGTTACAGGTCATCCACGTCCTAGAGTTATGTGGTTAGTTAATGGTCACACTGTAGTCAACGTAAGTATTCATAATTTATACATTACAACTTACGGTTGAATTATATTATATAATAATTATCTGTATCCCTAGGGTTCAAGATATAAATTAACATATGATGGAATGTATCACATGGATATACCAAAAACAAGACAGTATGATACAGGAACAGTTGAAGTAATTGCACGAAATTCATGTGGTGAAGCGTTGGCTTCAACAGAACTGAAAGTTATTCCAAGACATGACGATTACAGAGGTGTTCTTAAGAATTCACCAAGACGTAAGTACAAACTTAAACATTTGATTTGTATTGTTCAAGCTTTTCTCATATATCTATCTTTAATAATGTCTTTTATATTATATATTGTTATTGAACATGGCACAATATATAAACATGACAAAAAAAGACAATACCAGATATTTATATTATTTAACATGACACCGTTACAATATTGCACTAACACTCACATGTTACGCATGAATAATGAACACACTCACATGCAAAAGAATTATGCCAAAACCAAAAACCATTGCAAATACAAATATGTCCAAGAGTCCAAATGCTACTCCACATAGCAATTTCCTACCCCAATTCTGTTTTTGGCTTGGAAGGCTGAAATTTAAAGAAGTTTCTGAAACCGTGAGCTGTTTTCATGGCATACAGATGAGAAGGTATGTCAAATACTTGATTCGTTGAAGAGTAATGGAATTTCTGCCCATGTTAAAAAAATTTTATTAAACAACTTTTGTACAATGTAAGTGTGCTTGTATTTTTCAAGTGTAGCTTGTTTGGCTAAAATTGTGCTGCTTCAATATGTTAGTATTGATATAAATACATACATGATAAATGAAAATATATTTATTAATTTTAATATTAATTAGCTTGGTACGACTACGACCTAACACAATATCAAAAAGAACGTGTAGGAACTGAATTAGAGAAGACCTTCGAAGAAAGACAAGCATTATTGGCTCAACAAGGAGGAATTGAATTAAATCCAGAACATTTGAGACCAAAAGTAATTAAGCAAGCGGAAACGGAATGGCAGCAAACAGTCAAAAGTAAGAAGGGCGAAGAATATTATAATAAACTGCAGGAACTAGAAAATGAGCAAGTTGTTAAAGAATCTAAACTTCGTGGTGCTTCACATCAGTTTGCTATTCCCGGTGAGAAATTAGTTGCTAGTTCTATGGCGAAAGGAATGGCGCAAAAGTATCAGGATAATCTGTAAGCATTGTTCTAAATTTTGTGAAAAAATCAATTTTATCTCTAATCATTCGATGGATTTGATAAATTTATTTTTCAGAGTACAAACTACTGAGACAGCTGTTGATGCTCCTCCTAAAGCAAAATATATCCAAAAGCCACATACAACAGAATATATAATAGATTCTCAACATGTCCCAGGTCACCCACCTGAACCTTCAGAATCAACAGTGCATGGAAAAGAAGTTCATGTTGCCAAACAAAAGCAAACACAAAAGGAAACAGTGGGAGATTTAGAAATAACCCGCAAGATTACTGCGACCGAAACGACAGAAGTTGAACACAAGGGCAAAACATTTGAAAGAGTTGTTCAAGGTCCTGTAAAACCATCTAAAGCTCCATTTTTCACAAAGAAAATTCAACCTTGCAGAGCTTTTGAACAAGAACAAGCTCGTTTTGAAGTGGAATTTGATGGCGATCCTTTACCTACGATTAAATGGTATCGCGAAGATTTCCCAATACAGAATTCTAAAGACTTCCAAATTCATACATTCAGTACAAAATCTGTATTAATTATTCGCCAAGTGTTCTTAGAAGATTCTGCTGTGTTTGCGGCAGTAGCAGAGAATCGTGGAGGTACCGCAAAATGTAGTGCAAATTTAGTTGTTGAAGAAAGACGAAGGCAAGGTCGTGGTGGCAAGATTCCACCTAGTTTTATAACAACTATACAAAATACAAACGTGAACGCTGGACAATTGGTAAGATTTGATGCCCGTATTTCTGGAACAAAACCATTAGATGTATACTGGCTGAAAAATGACAAAAAAATTACTCCTGACATCCGTTATAAGACATTGGAAGAAGATAATACATATACTCTGTTGATTATCGAAGCTTATCCAGAAGATACAGGAAAATATGAATGCGTTGCTATTAATAGCGCCGGCGAAGCACGTTGCGACGCTGAGTGCTATGTTCAGGTTCAAACTACACCAAAATCACCAGGAAAACCAACAACTCCAGGTGTAGAAAAAGCACCTACAATTATAGAACCTTTGAAAGATCAGACCATTAAAGAAGGGCAGAGTGTTGCTTTTAAATGCAAAATTACTGGAAAACCAACGCCCACCATCAAATGGCAAAAGGGTGAGAAAGTTATCAAGCCCTCCAAATATTTCCAAATGCAAAAAGAAGGTGATACATGCACACTTAAGATTTCAGAGGCATTCCCAGAAGATGAAGGAATTTATAAATGCATTGCGATCAATGCTGCTGGTAATGTAAATACCGTAGCTAATCTTAAAGTACTGGCACCTGATACTCAAGACACATTGCCTGTTCTGACACCAATGAAAGATGTAGTAGTGTATGAAGGTGCACCGGCCCAATTCAAGACTACTGTGGCCTCAAAAATAAAACCAACCATTCAGTGGTTTAGGGAGGGCGATCTGATACCAGAGTCACCAGATTTCCAGGTAATTGCTCTCATATCACATCGAATTAATTTATTATTTATGTAGTACAAATGACATATTTTATCAATCATTAATACTTTTATCAGGGACTGTTTTATTAATTGGAATAATATTCATATTATTTTCTACTATTTATGAAGTATACAGCAATATTGTTTGATTTTTTGAAGAAATATTTATATTAACTTTTATATCATTTTAGTTTATTTTGAGATATATGAATCTTTAAAAAATATAAAATATATAAATTTTTATTTCAGATGATCCATGAGGGCTCAAATGCCGTGTTGCTAATCTCATCAACTTACGAAGAAGATTCTGGTACGTTCACCTGCCGCGCAATCACATCGGCTGGTCAAGTGGAAACCTCAGCAAAACTTGTTGTTAAAAGTAAGAAATAAGACATGGACTCGCTCTAATAATTGTTCTAACATTTAAATTACTATTATCACTAGTCTTGCTATATTTATTTGCTTTGTTTTCAATTTAGTATATCAATCAAAGTTAGATTAATAGTAGTTTTTCGAGCTATTTAAAAATGATTTTAAAGCAGTATAAAAATATAACTCTAATAATATTATTGCGATTGATATATTTATAAAAATTATTTATTCTATAGTTCAATTTAATAGCTATTAAAAGTATATTGTGAATATAAATAAAATTGCTTGCCATAGATATATTAAAATATAGCTTAAGCAACTGTCTTTATATCATATTAGTAAGGTTCCTAATCGGTCATGATATTTTGTTGGTGTTGATTATTATTATTCTGTTGCTGTAATCATTGTTCCAAATGATATCTGATTGTTTTAACATGATACATAAATATACCTTATTAATAAATTTACGGTCTGAGTTATTTAACTTTATATATTTTCACTAGTATATCATTCATATATTTATACAGTAAAAGTTCCTTATTCGCGCATCTTTCTCGGATTAAAAAAAATGACTCAAAGTCTATAATCGCGGTTTTTCTGCAAATGCTTTAATCGCGGATATAATAATATATAATAATAAAATAATTTCAGTAAGTATCCAATCTATTACCCGTTTGAATGTCGTCAGATGAACCAAAAAATGGTAAATGATATCCACGGGGGATAATTATATATAAGCTTTTTTCGCCGCGATCGGTGTTTTTCAGAATGCGAACAAACAGAATGATAACAACTTTTATTAATCGATAAAAATTCTTCTGGTGTAGTAACATGTGTTTTGGTACCGCTTAAAGTTGTGAATTTATTATGATGATTAATCATTGTATGAGACGAGATCTTATTTTAATGAGGGAAGTTTTATTTTAGCCACATGGCCAAGGTTTCTGTATTCGCGGCATATTTATGGAACATACCACCCGCAAATAAGAATCTTTTACTGTGTTATAAATGTGTATATAAATATATTTGTTAACAACTGCCCATAAAGTACAGGAGCATTATTAGTTTCGATTATTATTCGTTAGTTCGTTCGTTAGCAAATGTTTAATTTAAGTTTATACACCGCGTGTGTTCCCGACCGAAAGTCGTCAATAGTGCGGTTGTCGGTGTCCGTGGGTCCGTGGGTCCGTGGGGCCGTGCGCAACGTGTTCTATTATTAGAGCGTTCGAGCGCGTTGCCTTGGTTTATGTTACTGCACGACTAAATTTGGATCGGCGAACGATACGTTTTTCACACCTTTGCTGACTCACTGCTCTCTTACCTGTTCAATGTGTATGCAAATAGATACGCACTATTTAAAACATTTTATACATAATATATAGATTGAAATAAATAAACATGAAGGCTGATTTCATTTACGCTTTATTTATTCATTCATTAACTAGATTTATTATTTACACATACTTGGAAATATATATTTACAGATAAAGGCCAATAGGATCTCACTTTCTTATATATACTTAAAAAAATAAAACAAGGTTGTATTTTATTTACAAATAAATTCTATAGATTCTAAAGATTCACGTATATAGTGTTTTTATTTGTCACAATAATACAACATTGGCAAACAATAAATATATTTCAAATCGAGTTTGATAACTCTGTCACGTCTGATTTCTTTCAGTTCATTACGGACTTAGGTCTATTATAAAATTCGTATAGTTATAACAAAACTGCATCTGTTAACTGCTAATTAACTGAAGCTTTTTCCGCAATGTAGAATAGATTTGTCACGAAACCTTTGATTTATCTTATATTTATTATAACGCAAATCAGATACACTTGGAACATTGACACAACTGTGCAAACATGTATTTTAAAAATCACTTTTATATGATACAGTATTCTGTCATTCAGCGGTCGTATCAAGATAAATACTTCTTGAAATAGTGAAATATGAAAACTTTACGGTTGCATGATTAGAATCATTTTTTCTGTTCCGGTAAATTTACCGGAACAGAAAAGACGGTTCTAATTGGACTTTTTCGATAAAACGATTTAATCTCGATACGACCACTTTTTCATAATATAACTGTCTATGTTTTTAACTATCTTTTTCACTGTTTTCAAATAATTTAATTCACTTTTTACAACTGTTTTATGTTATGATCGAGCGCGCCGCGACCGTGCGCTGACGGTTAACACCACACGTTTGAAATGTTTGTCCCTCGGTTTCGATGCGCGTCTAAATCCTGGTAGGGATATTTTGTACTAAATTTGTCTGACGTGACTCAAGCGCACTAAGCTCTGTTATTACTCTCTTTTCTATGAATAGAATAATGTACGACAAAGTCATAACAATAGAGGAAGCTACGAGTATGATCGAGATATTATCGTGAGCGCTATGCAACAACATATTAAAATTTATTTATAGATTGTATAACACATCGCAAAATGCAAATGCGTAATATTTTTTTATATTGATTGGGGCTTCCATATGAATAAATAAATAAACAAGTTACATGGACTTCCCGATATATGTAATTAATGGACTTAATCAATAAAAACTAAATTAATTTATGAGTGATTAAATGTGGATTTATTACACATAATTGAAAACAAACGAACACTTTGACTCGGAGTATTTTCGAAAAGTAAATTTTCAAAAATCAATATTTTTTTCATAGGTTTCCAGTTTCCATAGGACTTTATTGTCTTAGTATGTTCATTAAAACCAAGTACTCTATCGTTATACCAAGTCTAATTTTAATTTTAACAAACGTCAAAAAACTACTCATTTTCTTAAAATTGATGATTTTTTAAAAGTAAACTACTTGTCGCAAGGCCGTAATATTTCGATAAGTTGTATAAGACCATGATATATATCATCAAAAAAAGTTTCATAAAAATCGGCTCAAATTTTTTTTCATCAGCGAATTACAAGAAAACGGCTCGGTAGATTTTCACCTAAAACTAATCATTATCATTCCCCGCTAATATCTTTCGAACAGTTTTTGATTTTTTATAATCGATTTGGGAGTATGAGCTTAAAAGTGGGCCGAAAGTTTAACACTTTTTTCTTTTATTTGATAAACAATAGTCCTCAATGAGACACATCGAAAGGTTTTTAAATTTATGAAATTGGTTCAGGCGTTTTTGAGCAATCGTCGATGAAAGGTCTAATTTTGACAAATGCCAAAAAAACGTTACTAATTTTTGCAAACTTTGAAGAATTTTTAAAGTTAAACGAGTTGTCGTAGGGCCGTAATATTTTAGTATGATCTAGAAGACTATTGTATCTACCGTCAAAAAAACACTTTATTAGAAGAAAACGGCCCAGGGACGAAAAAATTTTCACTTTTCTGTTATTTACAAAGAAACGGCTTGGCTGACTGTCGCGCAAAATTGATAAACGCTAGTACTCATCGCGATACATCGAATGGCTTTTAAATTTTTTAAATCGGTCCAGCCGTCTATTTACGGCAAAAAAATCTGTTCTCACACACACACACATACATTTTCCAAATTTGGTCTCATTCGATTCAGAATGGCTTGAAACGTGGAGAAAACATAAAATTAGCGAATCGGATTTTTTTATGAAATCATAAACTTCTCCTTCGGGAAGTAAATAAATAAAATTTAAAGCGATATGATTACATATTTTGTCAAACTATATACGTGATAAATCAATTTCTAATGATTTTTATTTGTTACTTGGAATTATTTGAAATGGATGCGTATGAAATGCTTATAATAATTACAGAAACTTCACGCACTAAAATCAAGACATCAACGAAAAATACCGAATCCGAATTTGATGAAACCGACTACGTAGAACGTTCTGAAAGGCGAGATGATATCAACTTAACCAAATTTTCTAAATCTCAGAAGACACATGACGATATTACTGATGAAGCAATTGTACGTAAAGGTGATGATAGTTTACCATGGAGAAAAAAAAATAAGCCGGGTTTAAAACAGCAACAAAATGAATCTGTATTACCATGGACTGAAGAAGCTATATCTTTAAAGAAATCAAAAATAATTAAATCAAAAATTCCCAAAGAAAGTTTAGAAAATGTGGTTTTGAAACCCGTACCAAAGGGTGATGTTGAGAAGTGTGAGCCAAATCTTGATGAAAAGCATAAAACGAAAGATACAGTACAGAAAGAAGGAATTGTTGAAATAGATAATGTGGAGCAGTATCATGAAACTGAGGATACGAATTTACTAAAAGTGAAAAAAGAGGAAAAAGAGTTTGATCGACATAAATTATTATCAAAAGAAGCTCCACAGGTAACACCTTGGACAGAAGAAGTAATTAATCTTAAAAAAAGTAAACCGATTAAATCGAATATTTCAAAAGAAACACTTGAAGAAGTGTCGCTAAAACCTGTGACAAAAATATCTCGTCAGCCCGCAGATGATGACAAAGTGATTAAACATAAGATACCTTCCCCAAAAGATGAGTTTGAAGAAACAGTGAATGTAGAGAAGCTACATGAAACTGAAGACATCAATCTACTACAATTGAAAAGCGAAGAGGAATATAAACAGCATAAAAAGTTATCAAAAGAAGGTAATCAAGTAACACCGTGGACCCAGGAAACAGTTAATCTTAAGAAGAGTAGACCGGTTAAATCAGAAATTCCAAAAGAAACAGTTGAAGAAGTGTTATTAAAACCAGTGATAAAACAATTTGATTCAACAGATAATAATAATATGGTTAAACAGGAAAAACTTGTAAATATAGATTCGGATCAAAACGACACCGTAGAACAGTTACAAGAAACGGAGGATACTAATATACTAAAATTGAAAAAAAATGAAAAGAAATATGAAAAACATAAATTGCCACTAAATGAAGAACCTGAAGCCGAGATAGAACAGGTTGATAAGTTGTCATGGGGACGAGAAAAGAAAGAAAAGCTAGAGCCAGAAGCGCGTGAACAAATGCAGTTGCCTACAGGCAAGAGAAAATTTGTGGAACCAGAAATGTCTGAGCAAGTGGTATTGAAGCCATTTATGAAAATACCCGAAGAGAAGAAGACGGAACCCGAAGAAGTCGTCTTAAAATCTATTTCAAAACCAACTCCAGTTGAGGAACCTAAAAAGGAACAAGAACAGGTTGACAAGTTGCCATGGCGAAGAGGAAAGAAAGAAAAGCCAGAGCCCGAAGAACCGGAAGAAAAGCAGTGGCCTACAGGCAAGAGAAAACCAGTGGAACCAGAAACGCCTGAACAAGTGGTATTGAAGCCTTTTAAGAAAATACCCGAAGAGAAGAAGACGGAGCCTGAAGAAGTCGTCTTAAAATCTATTTCAAAACCAACACCAGTTGAGGAACCTAAAAAGGAACAAGAACAGGTTGACAAGCTGCCATGGCGAAGAGGAAAGAAAGAAAAGCCAGAGTCCGAAGAGCCGGAAGAAAAGCAGTGGCCTACAGGCAAGAGAAAACCAGTGGAACCAGAAACGCCTGAACAAGTGGTATTGAAGCCTGTTAAGAAAATACCCGAAGAGAAGAAGACGGAACCCGAAGAAGTCGTATTAAAATCTATTTCAAAACCAACTCCAGTTGAGGAACCTAAAAAGGAACAAGAACAGGTTGACAAGCTGCCATGGCGAAGAGGAAAGAAAGAAAAACGAGAGTCCGAAACGCCGGAAGAGAAGCAATGGCCAACAGGAAAGACAAAACCTGTGGAACCAGAAATGCCTGAACAAGCGGTATTGAAGCCATTTCAGAAAATACCTGAAGAGAAGAAGACGGAGCCTGAAGAAGTCGTCTTACAACCTATTCCAAAACCAACTCCAGTTGAGGTACCTGAAAAGGAACAAGAACAGGTTGACACACTACCATGGCGAAGAGGAAAGAAAGAAAAGCCAGAGCCTGAAGCGCCTGAAGAGAAGCAGTGGCCCACAGGTAAGAGGAAACCTATGGAACCAGAAATGTCTGAACAAGTGGTATTGAAGCCTCTTAAGAAAATACCTGAAGAGAAAAAGACCGAATCTGAAGAAGTCGTCTTAAAACCTATTCCTAAATCAACTCCAGTTGAGGAACCTGAAAAGAAACAAGAACAAGTTGACAAGCTGCCATGGCGAAGAGCAAAGAAAGAAAAACCTGAGTTCGAAGCGCTTGAAGAAAAACAGTGGCCTATAGGCAAGAGAAAACCAGTGGAACCAGAAATGCCTGAACAAGTGGTATTGAAGCCATTTAAGAAAATACCCGAAGAGAAGAAGACGGAGCCCGAAGAAGTTGTCTTAAAATCTATTTCAAAACCAGCTCCAGTCGAGGAACCTAAAAAGGATCAAGAACTGGTTGACAAGCTGCCATGGCAAAGAGGAGAGAAAGAAAAGGCAGAGCCTGAAGCGCCTGAAGAAAAGCAGTGGCCCACAGGTAAGAGGAAACCTGTGGAACTAGAAATGCCCGAGCAAGCGGTATTGAAGCCTTTTAAGAAAATACCTAAAGAGAAGAAGACGGAACCTGAAGAAGTCGTCTTAAAACCTATTCCTAAATCAACACCAATTGAGGAACCTGAAAAGGAACAAGAACAGGTTGACAAGCTGCCATGGCGAAGAGAAAAGAAAGAAAAACCAGACTCCGAAGCGCCGGAAGAGAAGCAATGGCCAACAGGCAAAAGAAAACCTGTGGAACCAGAAAAGCCTGAACAAGTGGTATTGAAGCCATTTAAGAAAATACCTGAAGAGAAGAAGACGGAGCCTGAAGAAATCGTCTTAAAACCTATTACAAAACGAACTCCAGTTGAGGAACCTGAAAAGGAACAAGAACAGTTTGACAAACTGCCATGGCGAAGAGGAAAGAAAGAAAAGCCAGAACCTGATGCGCACGAAGAAAAACAGTGGCCCACAGGCAAGAGAAAACCCGTGGAATCAGAAATGCCTGAACGAGTAGAGTTGAAGCCCTTTAAGAAATTACCTGACGATAAGCAGGTAGAACTGGAAGAAGCGGCTGTGGAACATATTCCAAAATCAAGTCCAGTCGAAAAGCACGATCAGCTTCAAGAAGTTGAATATAAGAAGATTTCAGATAAAGAGACAAAAGTTCTTCGGAGCAAAGACGATGAAGAAAAGATGACCAGACAAAAAATTGCAAATTTAGATTGGAACAAACAAGATATCAACTTAAAAAAAGTTTCAAGATCCAAATTTGTACCTCAAAAAGTTCAACTTGAACAAGTTGAATTAAAGCCAGCAATGAAAATTGAACCAAGATTTTCAGATGATGATAGAGAAGAAGTGAATCTTAAGCCCGTCTCAAAAGATGAAAAAACACTTATTGTTGAAGAGACTATTACTGAAGTTGAAGATACAATAGTCTACAAGGTTGCTGATGAAAAATTAAGGTCTGAATCAGAAAAAGTCATTTTGAAACCTATTCTAAAACCATCTCCAGTGGAAAAGCATGATAATCTTCAAGAAGTTGACTTACAGAAGATTCCAGTTAAAGAACCTGAAACTGAAAAGGAGCAGGTCGACAAGCTGCCATGGCAAAGAGGAAAGAAAGACAAATCAGAGCTCGTTGAGCCTGAAGAAAAGCAGTGGCCCACTGGCAAGAGAAAACCTGTGGAACCAGAAATGCCTGAACAAGTGGTATTGAAGCCATTTAAGAAAATACCCGAAGAGAAGAAGACGGAGTCTGAAGAAGTCGTCTTAAAACTTATTCCAAAACCAACTCCAGTTGAGAAACCTGAAGAGACACAAGAACAGGTTGGTAAGCTGCCATGGCAAAGAGGAAAGAAAGAAAAGCCAGAGCCAGAAGCGCTTGAAGAAAAGCAGTGGCCCACAGGCAAGAGAAAACCAGTGGAACCAGAAATGCCTGAACAAGTGGTATTGAAGCCATTTAAAAAAATACCCGAAGAGAAGAGGACGGTGCCCAAAGAAGTCGTCTTAAAATCTATTTCAAAACAAACTCCAGTTGAGGAACCTAAAAAGGAACAAGAACAGGTTGACAAGCTGCCGTGGCGAAAAGGAAATAAAGAAAAGCCAGAGTCTGAAGCGCCTGAAGAGAAGCAGTGGCCCACAGGTAAGAGAAAACCTATAGAACCAGAAATGCCCGAGCAAGTGGTATTAAAGCCTTTTAAGAAAATACGTGAAGAGAAGAAGACGGAGCCTGAAGAAGTCATCATAAAACCTATTCCTAAATCAATGACAGTTGAGGAACCTGAAAAGGAACAAGAACAGGTTGACAAGCTGCCATGGCGAAGAGAAAAGAAAGAGAAACCAGACTCCGAAGCGCCGGAAGAGAAGCAATGGCCAACAGGCAAGAGAAAACCCGTGGAACCAGAAATGCCTGAACAAGTGGTATTGAAGCCATTTAAGAAAATACCTGAAGAGAAGAAGGCCGAGCCTGAAGAAATCATCTTAAAACCTATTCCAAAACCATCTTCAGTTGAGGAACCTAAAAAGGAACAAGAACAGGTTGACAAGCTGCTATGGCAAAGAGGAAAGAAAGAAAAGCCAGAGCCTGAAGCACCTGAAGAGAAGCAGTGGCCCACAGGTAAGAGAAAACCTGTGGAACCAGAAATGCCTGAGCAAGTGGTATTGAAGCCTTTTAAGAAAATAACGGAAGAAAAAAAGACGGAGCCTGAAGAAGTCGTCTTAAAACCTATTCCTAAATCAACTCCAATTGAGGAACCTGAAAAGGAAAAAGAACAGGTTGACAAGCTGCCATCGCGAAGAGAAAAGAAAGAAAAACCAGACTCTGAAGCGCCGGAAGAGAAGCAATGGCCAACAGGCGAGAGAAAACCCGTGGAACCAGAAATGCCTGAACAAGTGGTATTGAAGCCATTTAAGAAAATACCTGAAGAGAAGAAGGCCGAGCCTGAAGAAATCATCTTAAAACCTATTCCAAAACCATCTTCAGTTGAGGAACCTAAAAAGGAACAAGAACAGGTTGACAAGCTGCTATGGCAAAGAGGAAAGAAAGAAAAGCCAGAGCCTGAAGCACCTGAAGAGAAGCAGTGGCCCACAGGTAAGAGAAAACCTGTGGAACCAGAAATGCCTGAGCAAGTGGTATTGAAGCCTTTTAAGAAAATAACTGAAGAGAAAAAGACGGAGCCTGAAGAAGTCGTCTTAAAACCTATTCCTAAATCAACTCCAATTGAGGAACCTGAAAAGGAACAAGAACAGGTTGACAAGCTGCCATGGCGAAGAGAAAAGAAAGAAAAACCAGACTCCGAAGTGCCGGAAGAGAAGCAATGGCCAACAGGCAAGAGAAAACCCGTGGAACCAGAAATGCCTGAACAAGTGGTATTGAAGCCATTTAAGAAAATACCTGAAGAGAAGAAGGTCGAGCCTGAAGAAATCGTCCTAAAACCTATTCCAAAACCAACTCCAGTTGAGGAACCTGAAAAGGAACAAGAACAGGTTGACAAACTACCATGGCGAAGAGGAAAAAAAGAAAAGCCAGAGCCTGAAGCGCCTGAAGAGAAGCAGTGGCCCACAGGTAAGAGGAAACCTATGGAACCAGAAACGTCTGAGCAAGTAGTATTGAAGCCTTTTAAGAAAATACCTGAAGAAAAAAAGACCGAATCTGAAGAAGTTGTCTTAAAACCTATTCCTAAATCAACTCCAGTTGAGGAACCTGAAAAGGAACAAGAGCAGGTTGACAAGCTGCCATGGCGAAGAGAAAAGAAAGAAAAACCAAAGTCCGAAGCGCCGGAAGAGAAGCAATGGCCAACAGGCAAGAGAAAACCCGTGGAACTAGAAATGCCTGAACAAGTGGTATTGAAGCCATTTAAGAAAATACCCGAAGAAAAGAAGACAGAGCCTGAAGAAGTGGTTTTAAAACCTGTACCAAAATTAGCTCCAGTAAAGAAGCAAGGTCAAGAAGTTGAGTTAGAGGATGCTGCACAGAAGTCTTTACAAACAATGTCTGAACAGGAAGTCATAATATCGAAAATAAAGAAAGAAAAGAAAATTAAAAACAAAATCGCCCAAAAAGCGCCTTCATTTGTTAAAAAAGTACAGCCGACAATAGTAGAATCTGAAAAGCCTGTGGAATTAACTTGCCAATTTGAAGGAAAGCCGAGTCCAAAAATTACTTGGTACCACAATGACGTCGAGTTGAAGGCATCCGAAAGAGTTTTTATAACTGTTACCGAACAAAGCACTAAGCTCCGTATTGCTAAGGCATTACCACAAGATGTCGGTGTATATACTTGTAAAGCAGTGAATGATTTTGGCATGGCAACCTCTACCGCAAAGCTGCTAATTTTAGGTAAGTATATCGTTAATATTTTATTTATTTTACTTTTCTTGGTTTCCGCTGCTAATAACATATAAAGTTTGTAGTGGTAACTTAATTTATTATTGTGATCAAATTATTTATTTGGTTTTTAGAAGCCGAAGAAGAAGGCATAGCTCCACAGTTTGTACCTCCGATCAAACCCAAAGTTGTTGAAGAGAATAAACAATCATTTTTGGAATGCAGAGCTATTGGAACACCTGCACCACGTGTGCTTTGGTTCAAGGGAGAAAAGGAGATTAAAAGTGATAAAAAGCATACGATTCAATATAATTCAGAAACCGGTGATGCTAAATTAATAGTACATGAAACCAACATAAATGATGAGCAGATATATAAAGTCAAAGCAATTAATAAGTTCGGAACGGCGGAGTGCCGAGCCAATTTAATTTTACAAAAGTCTGTGGAGGTCATTAAACCTACAGTTGTAGAGGCACCTAAATTTGTGAAACCTATTAAAGCACAAATAGTATCAAGTAAGGATCATGTGAATTTAGATGCTGAATTTGAAGGAATACCCGAGCCTGAAATTACATGGTATCGTAATGGTAAAACTATAATATCAACTGCAGAAATTCAAATAAAAACTCAAAATTATCGTACAAATCTATACATCGCTCCCTCTTGTAAGCAAAAAAGCGGTAATTATGAGGTCAGAGCTGTAAACGACGGCGGAGAAGCAAAATCATCATGTTCTGTGAAAGTATCTGATGATGAGGAAATGAAGAAGGTTAAAGCTCCTAGATTTATAAAACCTTTGAAACCTGAGATTGTTACTCCAGGAGAGGTAGTAATATTGGAAACTATAGTGGAAGCATTTCCGACAGCTACTTTCCAATGGTTTATGCAATCGCGTCCAATATTAAGTTCTGAGGAAGTAAGAATTAATTCGGCAGAGAATAAATCTGTATTAATACTACAATCTGTTTCGAAAGAACAAATCGGTCTTTACACATGCAGAGCGGAAAACGTTGGAGGTTCAGCTACTTGTACTGCCAACATCGCAATCTTAGAAGAAGAGGTTCATGAGAAAATTGTTGAGTTTAGTTCTCCCTATTTCACAGAGAAGATAAAACCCGTGATAGTGATGGACGGTGAAAAAGTAACATTAACATGCAAAATTACTGGAAAACCTACGCCACGTATAAAATGGCTTCACAATGAGAAAGAAATTGAAGAAGCCAAAGATATATCAATATCTCAAGACACAGAAGGACTTTGCGAATTATGCATAGAGGAAGTGTTTCCTGAAAATGCTGGAGAATACATTTGTGAGGCTACCAATAAATTTGGAAAAGCTACATGTAAAACAACTGTGGTTGTGGAAGGTATTTATTTAGAATATTATTTTATAGTATTGTAAAAGAAGTTCCAATAAAGGATTTTACATTTTAGCTTATGAATATGTTCCTGATTCTGAAATTGTTAGTCCCACAATAGCAAGTCTTTCCGAAGAAGAAATAGTAGAAGAGGAGGTGAGATTTGTATTTTTATGCGAGCACTTCAATTATTAATTCATTATTGATTTTTCAGATAATTGAGGAAGATGAAACAATACTAACAGAAGAATATTCACCAAAAATCGTGAAAAAATTACCTGAAGTTTTGGAAACTAAAGAGGGTCATCTTACTAGGTATAATATATATATATATATATATATATATATATATATATATATATATAGATTTTCAGCCAGTTGTCGAAATAAAAGACACAAATAAATACAAAATATTTATTTAAAAAAACTAATAAATAATATATATATATATAATAAATAATATATATATATATATATATATATATATATATATATCACTTATATACTAAAAATCCTTTTAATAGGATCTTCTTAGTTGTTTCCTGCATGAATAAATATAATGAAAAATCATGATTTTTGGATGGTTTTCCAAACTTATTAAGCAATAAAAATATATCTAAGAGAGATATACTATTACAGTATGAAAGCATTATTGTTACATTAATTTAAATATAATTTAAACTTAATTATATGCATGCAAGAAATAAGCACAATTTTTATTTTATGTTTATAGGCTTGAAGTTAAAGCTATCGGTAAACCTAAACCAGAACTTAAATGGTTTAGACATGGAACAGAGATAATTTCATCAAACGACTTCCAAATTGAAAACTTCGAAGATGGTACTTCTGTTTTAACTATAACTGAAGTATATCCAGATGATACTGGTGATATTGTCTTTGAGGCACATAATCCATTAGGCGTAGCAATGACAACCACAGAATTGTCGGTTGAAGGTTTGTGTATACATTTAATATCACAAATAAATTATTTTGTAATCTGTGGATTTATATAATGAATGAAATTAATTTAATTTTGTAGTTTTCAGATCTGGTTTATTGGTATTTTTATTTGGGCTCGACCGTCGTTTCCTCTCTTTCCCATACTAGACACTCAATTTAAACTATTCTATACTATCAACCCACACATTTTATATACCTATTACAGAATTATTGCATTGATTACATTTATTATTTATATTAAATTTTTTTATTTATTAATTATTGATTATTTTTTTATATTGATTAATTGAAAACTATATTAATTTTGTTAATTGTGTATTTAGGTATACTAGGAACAAAAGAGTACCGAAAACCAGAATGGGTTACTCACATGGAAGAACGTAAATCTACAGCTAAAGGTATCCGTGAGTTGCTTGATGAAACCATAAGAGTGATTTGCTAAGCTTCCTGAATTGAAAATAATAATACATATGTTCAATTTAATAATTCAGTCAGTCAGTTCATGTTACAAATGAGCAATTGTTTAAAGGACATCACCACATAAATAGAAACTAATGATAGAAGATTATAACATGTTCATACTACTAATTTGACACGCATGGATTTTACATTCGTCAAGATATTTGTATTGCTGATGCTTTGAATAATGTAACAAATAAGCAGCTTTCTTCTCCCTAATACATGAGTGGATTAATTTAGTGAATGCTATCAAATAATTTCTGAATGTATCATTTATATTATAGCAGCACAAGCTGTTCCCACTTTTGTTAAAGAAATAGTGGATATACGAGCTGAAGAAGAAGATGCGGTGACATTTGAATGTCAGTACTCTGGGCAACCTACTCCAGGTATGTGAATTTCAGGACATGATATTTATACTTAGATGATCATATGATGTATAATGATTAATTTTCATATATATATATATATATATATATATATATATGACTATGAGTGTGTGTATACTAATGACATTGTATATTATAGATGTAGTTTGGTACCATAATGATAAGCCCTTAAGAAACACAGAAAAGATTAAAATTACAATTCATAAAAATCACTCGATGTGCACTATCAAGAGTGTAAGTTTGGAAGATCAAGGTATATATGTATGTAAAGCAACAAGCGAGGCAGGAATGTCAATTACAAAAGCACAGTTGCAAGTAACGGAAATGTCTGAAGAGAAAAAATTGAAGATACATAAAGCAAAGGAAAGAAATGTTGAGAAATTAAAAGAAAAGGTTACTCTTCACAAAACTGAAAAAATACCAAAGAAATCTCAAGCTTCAATTGCGATTGAAGAAAAAAGTGCAACTGATGTTTCACATATAGATACCATAGAGACGGTGAAATACATAAAAGATGAAATTAAACCTAAAGAAAAGGCAAAAACGAAAGTTACCATAGAACAACCAGTAATAACATCTGCTACTGCATCATGCAAGAAAATTGATGACACCACTGTAACGATCAAAGAAATCAAAGAAGTAGCAGAACCAAAGCAACCACTCAAAGAATCAATCATTGTTCATGATATTCAAGTTGAGGGAACTATTGAAGAGTTTGTTCGGGATGTAATAAAGAAGCGCGGCGTTAAAGTGACGCGACAAGAAGTCAATAAACTCTCTTCTGAAATCAATGAGACTATGCAATATATTGGTGTTAAAGAATTCTCAGCAGGAGAAAATCCTTTGCAAGAATTGGCAAAAATAGATTTCATGGTTCGCCATGGTATTACAACAAATGAAGTGATGAGCCTATATGATGCAAACAAATTTCCAGCATTAAGAAAACCAGAATCACAATCTGCATTAGTGCAGGTAATTGAACGTAAAGGGCATGGTCCCATTATATCAGAAATTTTAACACAGGAAAGTGTTGTGAGTGAAGATTTCCTAACACAACGGCTAGGGTTTAAGGCACTTATGAGGACTGTCGAATTAAAATATGTAACTGTTGAGGAAGTGATTACACACTTTAGGACTGAGGCTTTCAATATACAGTCAGTTAAAAAAATAGAGGCAAATGAGGTAAATTAGACAATATTCTTAAATAATATTTATGTATGCTTATAACTTAATAAAACATAATTGCAGGTTGTTATTGGAGAACTTCAAAAGGCTAAAGTACAGAAAACACATATTGAAAGTAAGTTTAGTGCGTATAAAATTGCATTTCTTATGTTGGTTCAACCAACAATACCATGATGGTAGATTTCCTATATTTATAAATAAATGATTAATATATATATATATATATATATATATATATATATATTAATATATATATATCCATATATATATATATATATCCAGATGACATAAAGAAAACTAAATTGTTTTTTATTTTATTTTATTTCTTCCTTATGCTATATCTTAAGCTTTACATATAAAACGTTTTTGTATTTGTTCATTTTTTCAACTCTAGTTTTACCATAAATTAAAATATTATTATTTTTTTTTATGATAATTATTAGGAAAATTTTTTATGTCATTTTTTGTACCTTTATCCATTGAAAAAGTGACAAATTGGACTAGAAAAATCCATGGAAAAACGATTTAGAAAAATAATTTAGTTTTCTTTGTAATATTATAATCCAGCTGTATGCTTGTTTAAAAAGTATTTCATTTTTATTCACATTTATCACCATCTGTAAAAATATTGCATATATATATATATATATATATATATATATATATGTGTGTGTGTGTGTGTGTGTGTGTGTGTGTGTGTGTGTGTGTTATATATATGATATGATGATAGTTTTGTTGACTATGATACATATTTGAAGTATTTTGGAGCCTAAAAAAATATTAATCAATTAATTCAAAAATTCAAAATTGTTTTTTCTATTTTAATCTTTTAATCTTTCAATCTTATATATATATATATATATATATATATATATATATATATATATATATAAGGTAAAATTATATTATTTATGTTTAAATTATAAGAATAAAAAAATATTTTTATGCATAAATTATAGCCATGTATGCCTTTTCACTATATTCAATACCACGTTATTATTATTTTAGGCTATTGCTTTACTGTTTCAAACTCGTATGTATATATTTCACTGAAAATACTGCTTAATAAGTGCTTATTTGCATTTATTTCTATCACATTGCTGCTATGCACTTACAATTCATTCAAATGCTACTGATTATTACAATGCTTTATACTACCATGATCAGCTTACTGGCAACTATTAGTTTACTGATATCTTACTTATCCATACAAATTTAAACCACATCATATAACATAATTTCACAGAATCTGTTGACGCATCCATAACACAAGAAAAACAAGTTATTATTCACAAAAAGCCAAAACAAGATAAAAAAGACATGGAAGAAGAAACTACAGAAACAACAGTAAGTACAACTTTGGTGACTGAAAAAGACAAAACACTCAAAAAGCAAAACAAAACTAAAAAAATAATTCAACAACAATCTGAGGAAGAAGAAGAAATTGAGGTTGAAATCGTGGGTGGCGGCAAACGTATTATTAAAAAGGTGATCCGTGGTACGAGACCGGACATAGTTGAAGAGGACGTTGATGAAGAATTTATTGATGAATTTTCGCCAAAATGCGAGACGTATTTGCGAGAAATACCTTTTATTAGTGCTTCGCATACACTTGAAACTGTTGGCGTAGATCAGTCTGCAGAATTAGCAACTGGAAAGCCTAGTTCCCAAAAAGCTAACGTATCGATAAACACACATACTGCTTTAGTTGAGCATGAGATTCGAGCAGATGAACATGAGGAAGAAGGTACTTCCATAACACAAATAAACGTTTCGGCAAAACCTAACTTTGAAGCTGTTATGCCATATACTGTTACTGAACCAGATGTACAAAACCAAGTCGATACTTTCGATGAGAAATGGACTCCGCGATCGTTTGAAGCTTCATCAGATATAATCCTAACTGAAGGCATTCAAATATCTGAGACTAAATCAGATACTGATTTAAAAACCTTCATGAAAAAGACTGAAACATCAGTAAATGCATCAATAAATCTTTTACAGCAAGAAGCTACGAATGTGACTCAAACTGAAGTATCATATAAAGAAGAATACTTTACTGATAAATTGCCAATGAGAGGAATTACAGCATCGCAGAATGTTATTACACAAGAAGGTTTGAGTGTATATGAAGTGTGCGATGCCACTGCTGAAGATAACTTGAGTTCATTCTCTATACCATCAAGTTTGAAGCCAAAGTTCCAAATTCCATCAAATGAACCCATTTTGGTTGGAGAAGTATTTGTAGAAGATAAGCCAGGAAAATATGTGCCAGAACAATTTGTTGCAACAGAATCTGCTAGTCAAAGTATAATAACACAACAACAAAGGACTACATTTGTTACACATGCTCCTGAAATGGAAGGAGATTTTGTTCCTGGTAGATTACCACCAACTCAGAATGCTAATTTCCAAGTAATAACTAAAGAAACAATATTAACAAGCGAACATGCAGTTCATGAGAAAGAAGAAGAATTTACTGAAGGAAAATTACCTAACATGTTCAATGCAGTACCTGATATCACATCTTCTGAAGCAATTACTATTGATATCGTAGATACACAAATGCCACAGAAAGATCTTACAGTTTCTCAAGAAGACCGATTTGTTGCAGATGTTTCTTTTACAGAAAAAGAATCTCTAATCGGGCACTATACTATAACACATGAGAATGAGGAAGCAATGAATGAGCTGGAAAAACCTAAAGGAAAGAAAGCGGATACAACTTTCACTTTACTTGAATCAAAAGATGTTTTTGCAGCTACTGTGCAAGAGTCAGAAGGAGATTTTAAAGAACTACGTAAACCAACAACTGCACTTGCAAATAAAGATTATTTGCCAGAAAAATCGTTGTTGATATCAGAAGTAATATCATCTGACTCTCATGGTGAATTTACTGACCGAATTACACTTTCATCCGACATTGCGGAAATTAATATGGAAACATTACAAGCCAAATCTGTGCAAACAGTTCAAACGCAAGAAAACGAAAATATATTAGAGGAGAAACCGAAACCATCACCGTCTTACATTCAGCAGAGTGTTAATGAACTCGAAACCTTGACAGTAATCCAATCACAAGTTCATGAATCTGAAAATTTATTGAGCAGTGACGTATTTCCGGAAGCGCATCATGGTAAAACAGCTTTTGATCAGTTCTTGCAGTCAGCTATAACTGAAGAAATAAATCCGGCTAATACAGTAAATACTATTAGCAAAGATCAACCTCTGTCGGGGCATGCTAAAACTCAATTAGATGAACTTCAAGAAATCATAGTGGAGGAAGCAGTTGTGGGAGATAATATAAAACCTTATGATAAAGATGCAAGACCAGAAAGCAAGTTGGCAACTTTAAGCATGCTGAATAAGGAAAGTTTTACTGTTTCACAAATATTCGCTCAAGATAAGGAATCTCCTTATGAAATTCATCACAAACCTGAATCATTCAAAGCAAAAACAGAATATAGTTCCAATACCGTTGCCATTCAAAGTGAGGTTTATCCTAAAATAGAAACTGGTATTCTTGATCTACCTGCACCAAAAGCAGATAAAGCTAAAGCAGAATCTGACTCCTTGCAATCAATAATTGTTAATGAGGCTTATATGATTGAAAAAGAAGGTAAATTCGATAAATTGTTAAAGCCTGAAGAAAAATCAGCTTTTATTCAAATAGATGAAATCATGTCAAGCCTCAATATATCCGAAGTTGATGTTCACGATCGCGAAGATGAACAAAAATTGACAGAACCTGCTAAGCCAATAACTGCTTCAACATCAATTAGAACAAATCAAGCTGCTGAAACTACTATTGTCAGCACAGAACTGCAACCGAAATCATTGAAACCTGATATACCTTTGCAAGCATCGGCCAACTTGGACAATCAACCATTATCAGAAATTATTATAACGCAAGCCACTGTTAATGAAGTGGAACAAAAATTAGATGATTTCATTATTACAGAGAAGAAAGCAGACATTAACTTTGATGAAGAGCAAGGGGTAATTATTTTCGAAACAAACATAAATGACAAGGAAAATAAACTGCAAGGTCTTATTATGCCCGCAGGAATTAAAGCGAAATCTGAAATTTCTGGTAGAAAGGTCACAGTTCAAGAGGAAGTTGTATCTCATTGTTTAGAAAGTGAATTGAAGGTTGAGCAACCGGAAAAACAAAAGGCTAGGGCTGACCAAGAAAGTTTCCAAGTTGCTATGAACATGCAACAAATAACAGCAGAATTGGAAGACACTTATAGTCAGAAAATTTTACCAGATAGTAAGCATGCTGATATTTCCTTTATTGAAGGAAAATCTTTATCTGTATCCCAAGTAATTGCACAGGACAATGAGTCGCAGCTAAAATCTACTGAATTACCAGAGACTAAAGAAGTGAGTTTTGAAATTTATGGGCATATAGTAGCCCAGCAAAATGTAGTTGTCCCAGATAATTCTGCTGATATATTGAAGATGGTTTCAAATAAATACGAATCAGCAGCAGATAGCATAATTCCGTATAAAGCTCCCGTTAAGGTCGAAACAGTCTGCAATGAATTAGAAAAAACATTTGATGACAAATTCACACCCGATACTAAAAAGGCTTCAGCTGCTTATGAGGAAACTAGAGGTGTTGAAGTATCTGAAACTTTAAGTCAGGATAATACAGATAGTTTACAAATTTTAGAAAAACCCAAAGAAAAAACTGCTGTAACGGACGTCACAGGACATGATATTGCCCAAACAACTGAAGTATTATCCTTAACTAATGTGTCGGATTTGCGGGATATTAAATATGATACTGAATTTGCTAAAGCTGCACAAACACAATATGAATCTGTTATTAATACCTGCGCGGAAGTTAATGAATCAGAATCTCTTCTCGTGCCTAAAGCTCAACCAACAAAGGTACAGTCAAATATTAACTTTGAAGAAAAGCACAGCATTCACGTTACATCGGTTGAACTTGACTCTAAAGAGACAGATATGACAGCAAAGTCTCAACCAACTTCATTCACAGCCGATACTTCTATATCAGGGCAAGACTCTGTTATAACTTCTGAAGTTTTGCCTGCAGAAGTGTTAGGTGAGTACAAGAGTCTTGATACAATTGGGAAGCATGGCACTGAGAAAACTATTCCGTATATACCTTTAGAGAATTTTGAAAGCCAGATAATTGAAAGTGAATGTGATTTCAAGGGATCATTTACCCCTTTTTCCATGAATGCGGAACTAGAATTTGTTAAAGGTCATGGACTGACTGTGACACAAGTAACTGCAGCTGACATGGAGCATGAAATGAAACCACTGGAACTTCCCAGTTATAACAAAGTTTCTGGTAACATAGAGCAAGCTCAAAATATTGCAGAAAAATCGGAAATTCAGACTCATTTAGGAATTAAATTTATTGATACCACACAACCCTTAACAATGGAAGCCAAAACATCACAAGATGCCTCTCATAGTATTTTAGTTACAAGCGTTGAAATAGATGAAAGTGAAAAGGAGTTTGAACCATTACAAAAGCCGAGTATGAAACAAGTACAAGTAAATCTATCTGAAGGAAAAGCTGTACATGTAGTTTCTGAAATAATCCCTAGTGATAAAGAAGCTGCTTTTAAGAATGATTTCCAAATAAAATCAGACGTGGCTTCTCATAAAATATCAGGATGTATTATAGCGGAAAAAAGCGAAGTTCTTTGCGAACAATCACTTGGGGTGGTTAGAAAAGATACTGTACAAGAGGCTAATGCAAAACAAGAACATATCACAGTTGAATCTATAACGCAAAATGAAGTGATACTGCGAGAAAAGGAAGAAGAATTTATTGGAAAACCTATATTTAAACCAACGGAACAGGCAAAATTAACACACATCTCCCAAGAGCCCATTGTTGTTACAGAAAATGTAACTACCCAAATAAATGAACAACTTGAGCCGCATAAACAACCAGAGCAAAAACATGCAACTAAGGAAATATTTGGCATTTCAATCGCTGAAAAAATGGAAGTGTCTGCGGTCGATGGCCTTGGGTCTGTTGGAAAAGAAGATCTTCATTCTGTAACAGCAAAGGAACATCAGGATCTAATCGAATCTTTAACTCAAACGCAAATAATTGTTCAGGAAAAAGAAGATGATTTTAGCGAAAAACCTAAGATTGAAGAAACTGCTAAATTGATGCAAAATGTGCAAGAACACATTACTGTTACAGAACCTGTAATTGATCAAACACATGACAATTTACAAGTAGAGCAGTTTCCGGAAGGCAAAAAAGCTTTTAAGAATGTATCTGGAAAAACTATTGCTGAGAAATCTGAAATATTGTGTGAAATGGCTTTAGGCACGATTGATCAAACACAAACAAAGGGTGTAACAGCACAAGAAAAACATGTTTTGGCAGAATCAATAATACAAATACAAACTTTATTAGAAGAGAAGGAAAAGGAATTTACTGAAAGACCGGGATCTACCGATAAAGCAAAATTATTGCAACCTACACAAGAATCTCTTATAGTTACAGAACTTACAAGTAATCAAGCACATGGACAACTATTGCCCGAGAAGCAGCCCGAGGGAAAGCAAGCCACACAGCAAATATCTGGGAAAAAAATAGCAGAACAAATGGAAGTTCAATCTGAATTGGCTTTGGGTTGCATTGAAGGTGATGTAGTGCAGAGAGTGACAGCCAACAGAAATCAGACTATAGTTGAATCTTTAACTCAAACAGAAGTGGTACTTCGTGAAAAAGAAAGTGAGTTTGTTGAAGATACTAAGAGATTAGATAATGCAAAATTAATACAAAAACCGCAAGAACCTCTTATTGTAACCGAAAATATAATGAGTCAGACAAATGTAGAACTTGAACTACAAAAGAAACCGGAAATAAAACAAGCCAAAACTGCGGTGAACGAAAACGAAGCAATTATAATCAGTTTGATAGACTCTCAAGAAATGAATAATGATTATGTCGTTCAAGGAACTAAAACGTCGCAAGCCACCCGCGTGCAAACTACAGAATCCAGTATTCAAAAAGAAGAAATTATCCCTGTACAAAATGTTGAATTGATTAAGGATAAGGGTGTACAAAGAACTGAACATATAGAACCTAAATTAGAGGACACTGAACTTAATAGCGTCGAAATACTAGAGATGAAAACAACGGGTGAATTGGAATCAATTTTGCCAGAAATGACAAAACCACAACAAAAGCGAGCCAGTATATCATACGAAGAAATAAAAACTTTCCAAATTACAGAAACACATTTACAAGAGGCAGAAGGTAAGTTAAAACCATATTATCATACAGAAAAAAATGCCAACATTACACACGCAGATGATGAGCACATGATGAACACAAGCACACTTCAAATTATAGAACCTACACAAACTACACCTTCACGTAATACACAAACAACCAATTTAGTTTTAGAAAAAGGTAAGTCCACTGGTTTAAGCCAATTGCAAACATTTATCAAAGAAAAGGATACAGATAAACCAGCAAATATAAAGCAGTATGAAGAAAATGTATTAGCTCGAGATGAAGATGAACAAGATAAAATGGTCAATTATAATGCTCCCATGAAGAGTTTAAAGAAAAAAGTTGGACCCAAAAAACAATTTCCAGAAACTAATTTCCCTGAAGAACAAGAAAAAATTCGAACTGAAGTGACTGAGATTGCTGGAGATTTAACTCTATTAAGGCCACAGTTTGAAAATGCAGTAATGATTAAAGAACAACCTGAAAAGATAAAAACAGGTGAAGTGGAAATAATGGAAGATGAAACGACCAAAAAAACGGTCAAAAAACGTGTATCTAAAATACTAATAGAAAGAAAAGAGTCAAAGGATGCACCTGCTTTGGAAAAACCAGGCGTGGTTGCCATACCTAACATTATCGATGATGAAAAGCAAGTTTCAAAACAGACTGTTACAACAAAAATTCTTCCGACACTAGTTCACGAAGAAGAAAAAGTCACTGAAATGATTACTGCAGAAACTCATAGTCAAGAGTATTATATAAGTACTGTGGATAATGAATTCCACGAGCCTGTAAGTACAATACTGGATACATTCGAAACACCAGAGGTTATTGATGTAACTGAATTCACATTGCCCTCTGGTGAAAAACGGACAAAAATCATTAAGAAGCGTACTGTTAAGAAAGTTATTGGTGATAAAGTAGAAGTAACCAATATTGTAAGCACTATTGAAGATGGCGAAGAACCAGAAACTTGTATCACTGTCGAAATTGTTGAAAACCCCGAGGAGAATATAGTGTACGAAATACCTGAAGTCGAAGAAGCTACGAAAGTCAAAAAGCGAAAACCTAAAATTACAGAAAAAATTGAGGAGAGAAAAATTGATGACAAAATTGAAAGCGAGGTTTTACAAAGAGAAATAGATGAAGAATCAACAGAAAAATTGGAGATTAAATCACAAGAAAATGTTGAAGGTGAGAAACCTACGAAAATTAAAAAACCTAAACAAAAGAAACCAAAAATCGATGATAAGTCAGAAGAAGAGCAAATAGAAGATGTAACTCCAGACTTGGATCATGAACCAGAAGAAATCGATCGAACCGAGTCTTCTCAAATCTTGGACAAACTGAAAAAACCTAAGAAAATTAAGCTACCAAAAAAAGATGAACCTAAAGTAGAAGAAGAAACACAGGAGATTAATCAAATTGTAGATGTGTTTCCAAAGGATTCTGATACTGAGTCTGTTCAAACCATAGACAAACCGAACAAGCCTAAAAAAGTTGAGATGCCTAAAAAAGAGGAACAAATACCTAAAGGTGTAATTGAAGAGAAAGTTGAAATTGAAGATTTGGCTCTTGAGGTTTCTGGTTCTCAACCTGTTCAAACCATACACAAGCCGAAAAAGCCTAAAAAAGATAAGATGCTTGAAAAAGAGGAACAAATACCAAAAGATGAAATTGAAGATTTGGCTCCAGAGGTTTTTGTTACTGAGCCTGTTCAAACCATAGACAAAATGAAAAGGGCCGAAAAAGATAAATCGTCTAAAAAAGAGAAACAAATACCGAAAGATAAAATTGAAGACGAGCTTCAAATTGAAGATACAGCTTCAAAAAATTATGAAATTGAGACTACTCAAGTTCGATATGAGACGAAGAAACCCAAGAAATGCAAAACGCCCAAAACAAAGGAACCCAAATTAGAAGACGAGGAAAAGGAGGAAAATGAAATTCAAGATGAGGCTCCACAAGTTCCGGGCGAAGTAAAGAAGCCCAAGAAATTTAAAGCGCCTAAAAAGCAGGAACCTAAAGCAAAAAAAGAAACGCTGGATAGAAATCAAATTGAAGGTGGTGTTATTGTGTTAGAAATACCTGAACAAATTGAAATAACTGAAACACTCTCTACGACAAAAAAGCCTAAAATAAAAACGGTTAAAAAACGAGTTATTAAAAAGATAACAAAAGATACGGAAGAAACAACAAATATAATAGTAACACAAGAAGATGACGAAACGCCTGATGTTAATATTAGCGTACATGAAAAAGGTATTCTTAAGGAAAAGCCAAAATTATTAGGTGATATAATTTTTGAAGAACCAGAAGATATTCAAGTAACGAAAATAAAAAATGACGTTGACCAAATTTTGGAACGCATTGTTAAAAAGCGCGTCATTAAGAAACGGGTTGCACCAAAAGAACAAATAACAGAAATTGTAACGATTGAAGAGCCTGGAAAAGAAAATGTTATTGTGGTTAATACGCAAGAGATGGACGTTACAGCAGAAGAATTTCAAACACACAAACCATTGTCTGCCCAAGCCGTTGTCGTTACTGAAATGCCAGAAAAAGTGGAAACAACGGAAATTAAATCACCTAATGGTAAAATTAGAAAGAAGACTATTAGAAAAAGAAGTATTAAGAAAAATATAGGTGACAAAGATGAAGTAACTAATATAATAACAACACAAATTGACGACGAGGAACCTGAAGTTACAGTTACTGTTGACAAATACGATAACACCGAAACTAAAGAGGAATTAGTTTTTTACGAGCAACCAGAAGAAATTATTAAAATGGATGTGATCGATGATCATGGAAAGCCACAAAAGCGCACCGTGAGGAAGAAAGTTTATAAGAATAAAAATGGTCCTAAAACTAAAGTCACTGAACTCACTACGGTTGAGGAACAAGGAAATATAATAGCTACATCCGTAAACGATTATGAGATTGACGAGGAAGCTCTTGAAGATTTTCCGCAGCCTACTCTTTGTAATGCAGTAATTATAACTGACATACCTGAAGAAGAACAATTTCTTGACACAAACATCGTGAAAAAGAACAGAAGAACGGTTAAGAAACGTGTTATAAAGAAACGGTTGGATGATGTAGAAGAAGTAACAAGTGTAATCACTGTGCTAGATGATGGAAAACCACTAGAAACAAAAATAGAAGTTGAAGAAAATAGATTGAAGTGCTATAATGTAATCCAAGAGCTACCGCAAGAAATTCAAATTGTAGATTTTGTTGATGATCAAGGAAAACCTCAAAAACGAACAGTGAAAAAGCGAATATTAAGTAAGAAGACTGCACCTAAAGAAATTATAACGGAAATCACTAGTACGGTGGAGCCTGAAAAAGAGAATGTTACTTTAATTAAGGAATTTGTTCAAAATATACCGATTGAAAATTTTTACGAAGTTCCGGACGATGCTATTACAGTGACTGAGCTTCCTGAGAACGTGGAATCTGCTGAAATACAAAATGAAACTGGTGAAATAAAAGAAAACATTATAAAAACAAAACGTTTGAAGAAAAGAGTCGGAAATAAAGAAGTAATTACTGATATTATATGCGTATCTGAAGGTGATGATGCTCCATCTAATGTCACACTAGTAACAGAGGAACATGATTTACTAATTGCTGAACCTCATACCGAAGGGGTTGTTTATGAAATGCCTGAGGAGATAATAACGAAAACTATAGATGAAAATGGTATACCTTACAAACAGAAAATTCGAAGGCGAGTATTGATGAAGAAAGTTGGTCCAACAGTTGAAGTTACAGAAATACATATAGCTGAGGAACCTGGAAAAGAACCCACCACTTCTGTTAGAATTCATGAATATAATGATAACGATGACTCTAAAGAACAAATGGGTCCAAAGACGATTGATGCTATTGTTGTTACTGAGGAGTCGCAAGATATTCAAATACTACAAGAAGAAACTGTGAATTCAATTCCTGTACAAAAAATAATTAGAAAACGCGCTATAAAGAAAATTGTGAATGGCAAAGAAGAAATAACTAACATAGTTACCGTAAATGAGAATAATGTGCCTTGTGAAGCGTTTGTTACTACGGAACTACATGAGTTGCCTAATATCGAAAACGAAGGAAAATTAGATGTTTTTAAAGATGCTAGATTGGAGTTATTTGCTGATAAATCAGTTATTAATGATATCACACTAGAAAAATGCGAAGATAAGCCTAGTGCAATAACAAATCAACAAAGACCAAAAAAGATTAATCCGATTCTTGACAAACAAGAGCCAGATATTATTGAAAAAATTGAATCAGATGTGCACGAGAAAACATATTTGAAAAACATGCTTGAAGATCACACTCACACCAAACAGAACATCACACTTAAAGATTCGCCTACACACACACTTGATCTAGATAACAACACAATTCTCAACACTGCACATACGCCAGAATATTCTACACAATTCATAAATAATATTAATTTTTCAGATTTACCGCAGATTGATAAAATCAATATCACAAAAGCCAATGTTATACATACACACACTGAATCACATACAGTTACTGAAAATATACCTACAATTTTAAAAGCAAATGATTCTGATAAATCTGACGAAGAAATTAGCGAATTTATTACCACTTTTGACACATCCACTGATGGTAGCACTATTACAAAACGCACTACCAAACGTACAACAAAAAAGAAAAAATTGCGCCCAGGTTTAGAGCAAGATGCAGGTGTAGTAATCGAAGAATTCTTGGACGAACCATTAGCTGAAAAGTTTGTTAGCGAACATGTTCCTGATGTTTCATTTACTGAATTAACAGAAGTTGAAACTGACCTACAAACAGAATTGCCCCATCAAGACGTTAGTCTTGTCGATGAGAATGCAATTGTTGAAGAGTTAGTAAAATCTGAAGACATTGAATATGTGAGAAGAAATAGTCTTAATATTATAGAATTACCAGAAGAAGTAGAAGTTGTTGAAATAAAATCATTCTTCGGCAAGCCTAAGAAACGTGTTTCTCGAAAACGAACTTTGAAGAAACAACAAGGCGACAAGGAAGAGATTACAAGAATAGTTACTATAGAAGAAGACGGAAAGGAGCCATTTGTTACCGCCACTACAGAAATAGTTGATATTACAGAAGATAATTTTACACCATTGCCTAAATCTGATTCTTTACAGGAACATTGTGTAGTCGAGCTTCCAGAACAAGTTGAAGTTACTGAAATTAAATCATTCTTTGGAAAGCCAAAAACTAGAACAACTCGAAAAAGAACAATTAAAAAAGATTTAGGGGATAAAGATGAAATTACTACAATAGTTACAGTCACTGAAGATAACAGTGAACCTAAGGTTCTGGTCTCAACTGAATTTATAGTAAAGCCAGATATTGAAGAAACTAATATACTCGAGGAAACGATCGATAATTATGTGAAAGAACTTCGCGCTTCTGCTCTTGAAAAGACAGCCGTGGTTGACATATCTGAGGTTATCGATGATAAAAAGAAAATTTCAAAACAGACTGTTACAACAAAAGTTCTTCCGACACTAGTTCACGAAGAAGAGAAGGTTACTGAAATGATTACCGCAGAAACTCTTAGTCAAGAGTCTTATATGAGTACTGTGGATAATGAGTTACACGAGCCTGTAAGTACAACACTGGATACATTCGAAACACCAGAGGTAATTGATGTAACTGAATTCACATTGCCCTCTGGTGAAAAACAGACAAAAATCATTAAGAAGCGTACTTTTAAGAAAGTTATTGGCGATAAAGTAGAAGTAACCAATATTGTAAGCACTATTGAAGATGGCGAAGAACCAGAAACTTGTATCACTGTCGAAATTGTTGAAAACCCCGAGGAGAATATAGTGTACGAAATACCTGAAGTCGAAGAAGCTACGAAAGTCAAAAAGCGAAAACCTAAAATTACAGAAAAAATTGAGGAGAGAAAAATTGAGGACAAAATTGAAAGCGAGGTTTTACGAAGAGAAATAGATGAAGAATCAACAGAAAAATTGGAGATTAAATCACAAGAAAATGTTGAAGGTGAGAAACCTACGAAAATTAAAAAACCTAAACAAAAGAAACCAAAAATCGATGATAAGTCAGAAGAAGAGCAAATAGAAGATGTAACTCCAGACTTGGATCATGAACCAGAAGAAATCGATCGAACCGAGTCTTCTCAAATCTTGGACAAACTGAAAAAACCTAAGAAAATTAAGCTACCAAAAGAAGATGAACCTAAAGTAGAAGAAGAAACACAGGAGATTAATCAAATTGTAGATGTGTTTCCAAAGGATTCTGATACTGAGTCTTTTCAAACCGTAGACAAACCAAACAAGCCTAAAAAAGTTAAGATGCCTAAAAAAGAGGAACAAATACCTAAAGATAAAATTGAAGAGAAGGTTGAAATTGAAGATTTGGCTCCTGTGGCTTCTGATTCTGAGCCTGTTCAAACCATGGACAAGCCGAAAAAGCCTAAAAAAGTTCAGGTGCCTGAAAAAGAGGAACAAAAACCAAAAGATGAAATTGAAGAGAAAATTGAAATTGAAGATTTAGCTCCACAGGGTTCTGATACTGAGTCTGTTCAAACCATAGACAAACCGAAAAGGTCTAAAAAAGATAAGATGCCTAAAAACGAGGGACAAATACCAAAAGATGAAATTGGAGAAAAGGTGGAGATTGAAGATTTGGCTCCTGAGGGTTCTGATTCTGAGCCCGTTCAACGCATAGAGAAACCGAAAAAGCCTAAAAAAGTTAAGATGCCCAGAAAGGAGGAACATATATCAAAAGATGAAATTGAAGAAAAAGTTGACATTGAAGATTTGGCTCCTGAGGGTTCTGATTCTGAGCCACGCATCGACAAACCGAAAAAGCCTAAAAAAGTTGAAATGCCGAAAAAAGAGGAGCAAGTACCAAAAGATAAAGAAGATGAGACTGCTCAAGTCCTAGAGGAAGTGAAGAAGCGTAAGAAAATTAAAACACCCAAAGAAGAGGAACTTCAAGTAGAAGAAAAAATACAAGAGAAAGTTCAAATTGAACATGAGGTTTCAGAACAATATGAAATTAAGCCTACTCAAATTCTAGATGAAGTAAAGAAGCCCAAGAAAATTAAAGCGCCCAAAAAAGAAAAACCTCAAGAAGAAGAAGAAACAAGGGAGCAAGAGGATAAGGATACTGAGCCCGCTCAAAACGTGGCTGATATAAAGGAGGAACCAGAAACGAGAAGTCAAACAGAAGAAATAGTTAATATTGAAGATATAGCTCCAGAAATATCTGAAGTTGAGTCTGTTCTAATTATAGAGGAACCGAATAAATCTAAAAAAATTAAAAAGCCTAAAAAAGAGAAATCACAAGTCGAGGAAAAAATGAGAGAACAAATTAATAATGAGCCTTCTTCTACTACAGATGAAAAGCAGAAGCCCACGAAAGTTCAAAAACACAAAAAAATTGAACCAAAAACAGAAAATGAACTAAAGGAGATAGATCAAATTGAAAATATAGCTCCAGAAGATTATGAAGATCAGCCTGAAATTGAAACGGAGAAAACAGATCAACAAGTAAATAAGCAAAAAATTAAACCTAAGTTAGAAAGTGTTACCTTGATGAAAATTGAAAAGAAAGAAATGAAACCCACAAAAGTAAAGATTGATAAAGCGGAAGAGTTACCTCAATTTGCCACAATAAAACTTAAAAAATCACATAGCACACCAAAAAAGAAAGAAGAAGATAAAGTCGAACTACCCAAATTTTTGTTGAAAAGCCGGATAAAGCGATGTGAATATCCTCCTCAACCACTCTTTCTTAAAATTACAAATATAAATGCAGTTAGGGATAATGGCACGTTATCCCGTAATGTACAAGAAGCAGTTAAAGTTTTAAGAAAAAAATACAAGAAAGTCAAATTACCAGAGAAATTTGAACCAGACTTGGAAGTCAACACGCTCAAAATAGATGAGGATGTTCCATCATCTCCTGAAACAAAATTGGATGATAATTTGTTTGATAAATTACCTGTAAAACAAAATAAAGAGCCTGAGGAAACAGGCAAATTGAAAATTAAAAAAGGAAAATTACCTGAGAATAAAAGTATTGATGATGAAAAAATAAAATTAAACAAAGTACCAGATAAAGAGTTGAATAATATAGAAGAAGTTTCAAATAAGCCAAAACAACAAGAAAAAGAGGAACATTTAAAACCGAAGAAAGAAGAGCCTGTTGTGCATGATATTGAGCCATTTGTAGGTACTGACATAAATTACGAAACGCCAGAAAAAGAAGCATTAGAAACGTTTGACAAACCCGTTGAAGCTAAAGATATGCCGGAAGGTAAAGAATTGACGCAAAAAAGAACAAGAAAACATAAGCCAGATCCTGAAATTATTCATGTTCCGTTAGAGAAGGGTATACCAAAACCTAAAGACACTGAAGATGACAATGACATCAAGTTTCGTATTTCTCAAAAAGATAAACCTGATAATGAGCTTGACAATATTGTATTAAAACCATTCTCTAAACCAGTTCCTGATTCAGATAAAGAATTGAAGGGTAATGATTGCGATATGAGTTTGAAACCTATTACATCAAAAGATGACTATGATCAAGTTGAACAAAAACTAAAGAAAAAGAAATTAAAACTGAAACCAAAATTAGATGATAAGGAACCCATCAGTGAAGAGCATATTGTGGATGAAAATGTTCCAGAAGAAGTAAAAATTGAAAAGTCAGTTGAGGATCTAAAAGAGCAAAATATCGAAAAACCGAAGAAATCTGAACCAAAAACAGATATGCCACTCACTACGAACGAGGAATTCATCAAAGATGATGAGCAAATCATAAGCTCAATCACTAGTTCAATAAATGATAAAGAAAAATATAAAGTGAAAGTACCCAAAAAGAAAAAAATAGAACCTGTAGAAACAAATGATAAGCCAGTTTTGGAGCCAAAACAACCTATTGAAGAAGAGTCAACTAGTGAAGTACCAGACGTGGAGAAAACGGATGATTTAAAGGCCATGGTTGAAAATCCAGATGAGGAATCTCTGTTGGAGAAACCAAATGAAGAAGATGTCAATGCGGCTGAAGAAGTTATGCAAGTACCAGATGATAAAAAGAAAGCGAAAAGAAAACCAGAAGAAAACAAACGATCAAAGACAGACATTGTCCCTCTACAACCGGAAGATTTGCATACAGAGGCGATTGAAGAAATTAATGATGATAATAAACTTCAAAAACCTGAAGAACCGTTTAGAGTAGATAAAAATATCATTGATAAATATAGTGATACGGTACAAGTAAGTGAAGACAATTCACACCCAACATTATCACCTACCATAACACCACAACCTACACCGCCGAAACCTACAATTGAAAACGAAGGTACAAAAAAATTACACTATTATTAACAATTAAATATTTTGACTAAATTATTCACTTATTTTCATTTTCAGAATTATCCGACATTGCTAAATCGCAGGAAGAATCCAAGATAGAAAAATTGAAAAAACCGAAGAAAATTGAAGAAAAAATTCCAGAAAACAAAAAAGATGAACCCGAAGAAATAGTAACTGAAACTTCTGAAGAAGTTCAAGAAACATTTGGAGATGAAAAACCGAAAGATCTGAAGAAACGAAAAGTTAAAAAGCCTAAAAAAGAAGAATCAACAATTATGGATGACACCGAAAAGCCAGCAGATGTTAAAATTGATGACACTAAACTTGAAGAAGAAGATATTTCTGAAATTGCATCAGAAGCAGAACAACCATTACTAGATAAAAAAGATATACCTCAAAAACAACCCGAAGAGATTGAAGAAATTAAAATCAAAACTAAAAAGCCAAAGAAAACACAGAAAAAAGTGGAAGAAATTGTTCAGAAACCAGTGATGCCAGATGACATAGTTCCACAGGAAGTTGTTGAATTAGCCGATATGACGGAGAAACGGCCTGATGAAATCAGAAAAGTTAAAGCTAAAAAACCTGTTAAACCAGTTGCTAAGTCTGAAGAGGATGAACCAAAGAAAGAAGTTGAAAAAGTGCAAACAGTTGATGAAAAACCAGAAAAACCTAAACCGAAATTAGAGAAAGTTGAGTTGATACCGATGAAAATCGAGAAAAAAGAAATAAAACCCACAAAACTCAAAATTGACCAACCAGAAGAACTTCCTCAATTTGCTACGATGAAACTTAAGAAATCGCAAGTTGCCCCGAAGAAAAAACCCGAAGAAAAAGTTGAACTACCAAAGTTCTTACTTAAAAGCCGTATAAAACGAATTGAGTATCCTCCGGCCCCACTTTTGATGAAGATTACTTTCATAAATGCCGTCAGAGATAGTGGTATCTTATCCCGCAACGCAAGAGAAGCCATGAAAGTATTAAAAACAAAGTACAAGAAAGTCAAACTACCGGAAAAGTATGAACCAGAATTGGAAGTTAATACGCTTAAAATGGATGATTACATGCCTTCGTCGCCCGAATCAATACCAGATAAACAATCGTATGAAAAACTGCCTAGCAAACCCGAAGAAGTAAATGAGAAACCCGAAAAATTCACTATTTCTAAAGGAAAATTGCCGGAACAAGATGATGTCGAAGAAAAAATTACTTTGAGGAAAATTCCTGAAAAACCCGTAGGCGTCGAAGAAGAAATTAAACCGAAGCCTAAAAAGAAAGAAGAAGAACCGGTATTGAAAACGAAAAAAGAAAAATCGAAGGAACCTAAAATTGAGCCCTTTATTCCAAGTGATATAACGCATGATGAACCTGATAAATTAGAATTAGAAAAAATCGATATTCCAGGTCGATCTAAAGATATTCCTAAAGAAGAGGAATCTAAACCGAAGAAATCAAAGAAGACTAAACCAGAACCAGAAATAATATCAATACCATTACAAAAGGGTAAACCTAAGCCGACTGAACCAGAAGATGAAGAAGATGTCAAATTTCGTATACCAAAAGGTGAAAAACCAGATGAAGAACCAGAGAAAATTACACTTAAACCATTCGCTAAGCCCACACCTTCTACCGATAAAGAACCAAAGGATGCAGACCGTGATATGAATTTGAAACCAATTGAATTAAAGGAAGGCGAAGATAAACCTGAAGAAAAATTGTTCAAAAAGAAAAAAACAAAACCTAAACCTAAAGAAGATTTACCGGAACCTGACCAAGAACAACCCCAAGATATAGAAGCCGATGAAGTAGTTGAAGATATACCAAAAGAGCCGGAAGAAATTTCCCCAGAAGAAATTCAAGAATCTGTAATATTTAAGAAGAAGCCTTCAAAGAAAAAACCTGTGAATGAAGAGCCAGAGGAGGATATTACTGTAAGTTTCACAAAAACTGAGAAAAAAGAAGTCGAAGAAGAAATGGATGTTTTTGTAACTCTGAAAAAGGAACCTAAAGATGTTGAGAAGCCAGCAGAAATAACTCTGAAGAGAAAGAAAAAGATTACCAAAAAGCCTATAGAAGAGGTATCCGACGATATTACTATTAAAACGCAAGAAATAGAAGATATTGAAGAAGCTGAAGTGATTGAAATTGCAGAAGAAAAACCGGTTGCCGAGGAAATGACACCCGAAGAAATAATTGCAGTACCACAGCCTACTGAAGAAGAAAAACCAAAAGACGAACCTGAAGAATCAAAACAAATGCCAGTAGAAGAAATCACAATAAAGAAAAAGAAAAGAATCCCAAAAAAAGCAATCGAGGAAGTAGTTGAATCAGTTGTGATTAAGCCAAAGGGAACAGACGAAGTTGAGGAATCGGAAGTTGTTAAAATTCAAAAGGAGAAACCAATTAAACCGTTTGAAGAAGCGGCAGCGGATGAGATAACAATTACAAGAGTAGAGACAGTGGAAGAAGTAAAAGAACAACCTGAGGAGGTTATAGAGGAAAAGCAAGAAGTTATAGTAAAGAAAAAGAAAAAAGAAACTAGAAAACCAGTAGAGGAAATCACCGAAGAAGTTGTTATTAAACCACGAAAGAATAAAGAACCTGAAGAAACCGAAGGAGTCAAAATTAAAAAACCTATTAAGCCTAGTGTCGAAGAAGCTGCGGATGAAATTACCATTAAAAAACTAGAAACTGAAGATAACCAAGAAGTTACTTTGAAAAGAAAGAAAAAGATTGCCAAAAAAACAGTTGATGAAGAAGTTGAAGAATTCATCATAAAGCCACGAGCTGCTGAGAGTAAGCCGGAAGATATAGAGGAAACTGAAACTGTTAAATTGCCAAAAACGAAAAAGCCAACCGTGGACGATGTTGCTGAGGAAATCACAATTAAAAAACAAGAAATCGTGGAACCCGAAGACGTGGCAGAAGAATTTGTGGTTAAGAAAAAAGTTCCAAAACGCAAGCCTTCCATAGAAGAACATTCAGAAGAGGTTACTATAAGAAAACTGAAACCTGTTCGTAAGCCCTCGCATCCTGAGCTTACAGAAGTTACCGAAGTGGAAAACGTCACTTTCAGACCAAAATCAACAAAAACAAAAGAAGATGTTGAGCAAGAATTTAAAATTCAACTAGATTCATATGCTGAGGAAGAAATTTCCATGTCAAGCAAAGTAAAATTAAAGAAACAACGCCCTCAAACATTCCATGAAGAAACTGAAGAAGCATCAATAAAAATCACAAAAGAGGTAGAACCAGAAGGCCCTCAATTTGAAGAAATCATTGTTGAAGAAAGTGAACCTGATCAAGATGAAACTATGTATGATGTGGAAGAACCAGAAGATGAATCTGTCGAGGACCTGCCAGAAGATGAAAGTGTTCAATTTGCAATGCCTCTCAAGCGAAAGAAAAAGTATTCTATTCAAGATATTGAAGAAGAAGTTAGCTTTGGCATTAAAAAGAAACAAGAAATTACAGAGATAGATTCTGAGACCGTCGCTCTTAAAACTAAGAAAAAACCCAAACCGCAGACATTTGATGAAGGTATGCAGAATATATATGTATATAATTTTAGCAATTGTATGTATATATATATATATATATATATATATACATATATATATGTGTGTGTATGTGTGTGTGTATTTAATTTAATTTAATTTAATTTTCTTTCACAGAGGCTGTTTCTTTGAGTATAAGACGAGAATCTATTATAGAAGATCAAGATGGTGATGAGAGTGTAGAATTTGCTGTTCCACTTAGGCGCAAGAAGAAGTACTCTATTCAGGATGTTGAAGGTGAAATTAGTTTTGGTATTAAACAAGTAATGAAAAGAAAGGTTACTGAATTTGATGCTGACGCTGTAAGTCTAAAACCTAAAACAAAACCTAAGAAGCCCACATTTGATCAGGGTAGGTATTTCTGTAGCTATTTCTCTTATGTTTTTTTATAAAAACCTTTATATTCCATCAATTTTTATTATAGAGGCCGTTTCTTTGAGCATTCAAAGAGAGGAATATATTGAAGGTAATATAAATAGCATATTGCATAATATTAGGTTGTCAAATATCTCCCTTCCGCTTTTTTGCTCTTGGTTTATAATACAAAAAGGCGGAAGGGAGATATACATGTGAGTGTTAATTTTTTTTTAATAACCCTATGTAATTTTTCAGACGAAGGTGAAGTGGAGAATGTATACTTCTCAATATGCGCATATGATGCTGAAAATGAAGATGCTATAGATTTAGTAGAGGGTGAACGCGTCTATGTCATAGGTGAAATAAATATAAAATATAAATAACTATATATACGCATTTCATTGCTCTAAGATATATGTTATAAATAACATACTCGTACATACAATTGTTAAAACTTCATTTTTTATTAAGTGCATTTTACATAATTATCAACTAATTTTAATGTGTTACATTCTTTTAAAATTAGAAAATACTAATTCCGATTGGTGGTTTGTCACAAAACATCTTACTGAAGAGAAGGGATGGGTGCCAGCACAATTTTTGATGAACGAAGTTAATTACACCTTATATGTTCAAAGAAAAATAAATGAGAAGATAGATAAACTTCCAATTTTTGAAAGTAAGTTATCAAAAAAATTATTTAATTAAATAAAATAAATTCTGAAATGTTGAAATAATAATTTTGAAAATAGGATCAGGTCCAGATGAGAAATCAAGCGCACCTAGATTCATAGAGAAACTTCAACCGAAGCACACACCAGATGGTTTTACAGTCCAGTTTGAGTGTCAAGTTGAAGGACATCCACGGCCACAAATTACTTGGTTCCGTCAAACTGCAATCATAAAACCCTCACAAGACTTCCAGATGTATTACGATGATGATAATGTAGCGACACTTATCATTCGAGAAGTTTTTCCAGAAGATGCCGGTACATTCACATGCGTGGCTAAGAATGCGGCAGGATTTGCCTCAAGTACTGCTGAACTCATAGTGGAAGCCCCGTTATCAGATCATGGTTCCGATTATACTGGTTTGTCGAGAAAGAGCATGTCGAGAGAATCATCCTTAGCTGATATTTTGGAAGGAATACCACCTACTTTTGCTAAAAAGCCGAGAGCGCAATGCGTAAACGAAGGTGACGATGTGATACTTGAATGTAGATTAGTAGCAATTCCCGAACCTGATATTACGTGGTTTTACAATGGAGAAGAAATTATCAGTGAAAAAAATATATCTATAGTAACAGAATCAGATATGCACATGTATAGCAGTATAGTGAAAATAACAAAAACTATGAAAACTCAAGAAGGATGCTATGAAATAGTCGCAACTAATAGGGAAGGAGAATCTTCTATGCCAATCAATGTTAAAGTTATTACAGGAGAGAAAGAGCCTCCACAGATACTTGAACCTTTGAGAAGTGTGGTAACTAGAGAAGGCGATACGGTTGTTCTTAGCACACAAATCGTTGGGCAACCAACTCCTAAAATTGTATGGTACAAAGATGGCATTTTAGCTAAAAATCTTAAAACAAAAAGTGATAAAGATACTCATATTTTAACATTAATCAGTCCGACAATGAAAGATGCTGGTGAATATATGGTACGAGCTACAAACACAATGGGAAAAGCTGAAACAATGGCAACAGTGTCTCTAGAACGTAAGTAAAATTAATTTATTAATATTCTTAAAATAAATTCAACTATTCTTTATCAATATAGTAATTTTCATATATTTCTATAGCTTGTCTGTCAGAGAAAGAAGAACCTCCATTATTCCTTGAGAGATTCCAAGAAGAAAATGTATTACAAGGTGATACTGTTCGACTACTTGCTAAAGTAAGTGGTAACCCAGCACCAAAAATAACATGGTTGAAAAACAACAAACCATTGCAACCTAATGAAAGAATTCAATTCTCATATGATGGCGAAAACATTGAATTGATAATCTTAAATGCAGACACTGTTAAAGATACAGGTGACTACAAATGTATTGCAACAAATCCTGTTGGCAAAGCCTCGCATGGTTCAAAAATAATAGTAGACTTAGAAAAAATAACATTTACCAAAAAGCTAAAGAAAACTATATTAATTGAGGAATCTGAAGAATTAGTTTTGGAATGTGAAACGTCACATGATGTTTCTACAAATTGGAGCCATAATAACAATAATATAAGTGGCATGGATCACAGACAAGTTATACATGATGGTAAAAAACACAAATTGATTATTAAAAAGTCAACAGTGAAAGATCATGGTGTCTACAGATGCACCGTTCGTGATCAAATAACAGAATGTTCAGTCACTGTAAAAGCCATCATACCAGAATTTATCCGCAAATTGCAAGATTTCGAGGTGAAAGAAAGAGAAACAGCAGTATTAGAAGTTGAAATCACATCTGAGACAGCTGATGTGACTTGGCACAAGGACGGCGAAGAGTTAACAAGAATCAATACTAAATATGTATTTGAAAAACAAGGTACTGTTCGTAAGCTATTGATTAGAAACTCTTCAGTACATGACGAAGGAGAATACACATGCACTGTGGGTGAAAATGAGTGCAGTGCAGAAGTAACAGTTGTCGAATTGCCACCAGAGATAATTAGTAAAATGAAGGATGTAACAATAGCTAAAGGAGAAAAGGCTATGTTTGAAATTGAATTAACAAAGGGTGATGCATTAGTGCGATGGTTCAAAAATAAAGTAGAGCTGAAATTTTCTGATCACGTTCAGTTAAGTATTGATGGAAAACGTCAAAGATTGAAAATTTATAATGCTGACATGGAAGATGCTGGAATCTATGAATGTCAAGTTGGGGAACAAAAATCAACAGCAAAGTTGACAGTCGAAGAACCATCTATTGAATTTATTACAAAACTTCCGGATGTCACATTAGTTCCTAAAAATACAGATGCCACATTTACAGTTAAGCTTTCAAAGAGTGATGTATCAGTAAAATGGTATATACGAGGCAAAGAAATTCAGCCAGATGAGAGGTATAATATGATATCTGAAAATGTAACAAGAACTTTAATCATGAAGAAATGTACTGAAGAAGATCAGAGCGAAGTCACATGCGTTGCTTTGAATGTCAAGACATCATCAAAACTAAAAATAGAAAGTAAGATTCATGACTTTTTATTTTAATTACATATATAGTAGTAATCAATTCGGACTAATACAATTTATTTAGTTTTCAATTCATTATTTCAATATGCTCTGAAATAATTATAGTATCAAAAAGCTATATTACAACAATTATTAACTATTTTATTATTATTATCTAGTTACAGAAATGCCACCTAAAATAGATACAACAAATAAAGAAATTAAAGTAAAAGAAAACGAAGACGCTACTATCACACTTAATTATACCTCCACTACTTTACCTCGAGATGAATGGTCTTGTCAAGGAATTGTGCTTGTAAAGTCCAAACGTATTGCTACAAAACTAACAGATACTTTAGCAAGCTTGACCATTAAAAAGGTTCAAGAATCAGATGCCGGAGAGTACACACTCAATTTGAGAAATAGTGGAGGCCGAAGTACAGCAGATGTATCAATAATTATTATGAGTAAGTTTAATAACTTAATTTTTTTTAGCTTCTTCTCAGTTCAGTAATATAGAATGGGATCTTCATACAATATGTATGCAGATTTATAACTAAATTGTAAAAAAAAGTTAATTACAAAATTAAGTAAATTATAAAAAAAAAGTTATGAGTAACCCACTTTTTAGGCAATCTAAAGTGATTTTTTTTATCAAAAACATGATTTTTCTTTAAGTTGCAAAAAATTGGTGAATTTATCACTCTTTTCTGGATTTTATAGGTTTAAATTTTAGGGTTTCTGATTTTTAACTTCCCGTAGGGTAAGTTATTGTAATGGGCCGAAAATCGGAATTGAAAATTTTTACATTTCTCGACGTTTTGAAGGTTTCTGAACATATTGGCATACCTCAGAAAAAATGGATGTGTGTGTGTGTGTGTGTATGTATGTATGGATACAAATTTCCAGTCACGTTTTCGGGCACACGGAGCAACCGATTTGAATGGTTCAAAAAACATTCGATTCCTATATTCATAGGGAAAAGAGCTGATTAGTTTTTGGCAAAGGCAGGTCCAACCGTTTCGGAGATACGGAGCAAAGAATGCAGAAAATAGAAATCGACTTTTTGAGAGAACGGAGTATCCGATTTGAATGATCTAAAAGATATTCAATTAGTAATGATTGGGAGAAGTGTTTATTAGTTTTTGGCAAAGGCAGGCCCGGCCATTTCGAATATACGGAGCAAAATATGTAAAAAATGGCAGTTTTTGAGAGAACTAAGCGTCCGATTTAAATAATTCAAAGAACTTTCTGCTTGTCTTAACAAAATAATTGATTTTGGATAAAAAAAATTGTTCCAACTTTTTTTTTTTTTAATTTTTTGTATATCGAAAATAATTCGGATTTTATTTTTAATTCTGACTATAGTTCTAATATACTTTACAAATAATTTCAACTTTGCAATTCAGTTTATATAATTCTTATAAATATTAGACAATGTTACAATATTTATAATAATCTATTTGAAAACATTCAGTATTCCTCGAACATTTTGTTACGGTACGGGAAGTTCCAGCAATTTGCCTTAAGGCACGATGCCATAATTGCCTCAAGACAGAATTCCACTTACAGCTAGTTTTAGGTTAGTTTGGTTTTTTTTTTTGTTTCTGATGGAATTTGTGACGAGTAATCTTTCCCGCCAAATGACACATGTACGCTCGTGACACCTAGGCAAAATGCTTGAACCCGGCATAATATGACATATATCATACATATATTTTCATGAAAAGAATATGAAAAATGTTGAATGAGTTTCATTTCAGGTTTATATTCGGCTGTCGCCACTTTATATAGTTAAAATTAATATAGATTAATTAATTTAGGTTATGTATATTGACTTACCAACATTTATATATTTTAATGTACTGATTCCGCTTTCATGCCAAAGGTATTCACAAACAAACACTCATTAATTTATGTAATATCAACTTAATTAATATTTGAACAATACTCGCGAATTATTTTTGTTATCACACAATTTGTATTTACCTAAATTTGGCAACCGTATGCAAAATAATAATATTGATAAAAACCGTTGCGTTGCAACTCTACCAACATACCAAGCATCAAGTGTCGAACTGTTTTCAATTACTCTTTTTGACTGATCAACTATTTTTATTTTCTTCGTATCTTTTTGAACATTGTTATGCAGATTTGTGTATATCAAAATAATAATATTGCATTAATTTTCAGAAAAACCGTCGCCTCCTGGTCGTCCTGAACCGTTGGTAATTAGTGATGATAGCCTCACATTATTTTGGAAACCTCCAGAATTTGATGGAAACTGTAAAATTCTGCATTATTCACTTAACTATCGCACAAGAAATGAAATTAGGTAAGATATAATACATATTTACTATATTTATGCAAAGAGATTGTCTCTTGGACTTATTTATTTGCTACTTAAAAATTTGATTAATATACAGTATGTTTTATTAAATTAATATTACTCTAATTTTATTTTACAGCTGGACTACTATTGATAATATAACTGATACATCTTATGCTATTACAAAATTAAGTAAAAATGAGGAATATGTATTCAATGTTGTGGCTTTCAATGAGGTTGGTCCTAGTGAGCCTTCAGATAATTCCAAATATCTCAAAACATCATCACTGACATCTGATGAACCACCTACTATACAAGAACCTTTGAAAGATGAAACTGTTGGCCTTAAACAACGGCTCACATTATCATGTATAATCGGTGGTATGCCAACCCCAGAAGTTAAATGGTATCACAACGATCGCCACTTTAAAAATAAGTCTATCAGCTATGAAAATAGAGTCGCAAAATACACCATAACAGAAACTAATGAAAATTGTTCAGGTACATATACCTGTAAAGCAACAAACCAGGCAGGATCTGCTGAAACATCTTGCAATGTATCTGTACAAGAATTACCAAAGATCACAGTTGATGAAAACATGTTAGTACAAAAATTAAGGGTTTCGACTCAATGGAAGGTTTCGGCAGAGATTACTGGTTTTCCAAAACCTGAAATTAGTTGGCAGAAAGATGGCAAACAAATCCAATCCACCAAGCACTGCAGTATTTATTATGATGAAACATCAAGTTGTATAGCTATATATTCTTTGGATAGGCAAGATACAGGAAAATATACTATAACAGCAACAAACTCTGCTGGATCTTCTAGTGTTGAGATTGAATTGAGAGTTATAGGTAGTATTGTAGTTTTCAATATTATTCAGAAATCATCTTGTTAATCAAATTGTAGTTTTAAAATCCAAATACTTTGCCTTTTAGATAAGCCTAGTAGACCCAGTGCAATCTCATTGAAAGAAGTTCATAAAGAATCAGTTGTTATAGAATGGACACCACCATTAGATGATGGAGGATTAGCTTTAACTAAATATGGACTAGAAAAATGTGATCCCGAGAAGAAGATATGGATTAAAGTTGCTGATCTAGATAAAGATGTTGAATCATTCTGCATACAAAAATTATTAGAAGGTTCCGAATATTTGTTTAGGGTCTATGCAGCAAACCCCATTGGCTACTCTGAAGCTATCGAAAGTGATCCTGTCTTCATTAGGAGTAGCTTTGGTAAGATTTTCATATTCTTATTTATAATAATTATGTATGCAACATTCGATACTGGAATACAGGATTGTGAAATAATTTTATTTTACTTATCCAGGTAAACCATCACCGCCGCGTGGACCATTAGATGTATCAGGTATGACAAATACCTCATTTACTATTAAATGGTTGTCGTCAGAAACAGATGGGGGTACTCCAATAATAGAATACATAGTTGAAATTAAGGAAAGTGCCAACAAAGCTTGGAAGAAGGCTGGAACTACCACAAAAGATTGTACATATCTTCAATTGACCGGTCTTAAGAAGGGCGCATCATATGATTTTAGAATATATGCTCGTAATGAGGCAGGAACTAGTGATGCTTACATTCCAGATGATAAAGTTACAGCAGGAAAATTGATAAGTAAGAGATAAAATATTCACTTTGCATTAAATGTAAAAATTTACTCAAAATTTTATAAGGTGGAATTTAATTGATTTTTTTATTTTTACATTAGCACCACCTTCAAGTCCACAAAATCTTTTGGTGTCTGATTTTACAAGTCGAAGTGTAACATTAACTTGGGAACCTCCAGCAAGTACAGGAGGCACAGAACTTACTGGTACTTATAGAACTTAATTGCAATACTGTTGATATATAATTTTTTTTTATATTAAACATTATACTTTATAGGCTATATAGTTGAGAAGAAATTAGTAACAGTAAATAATTGGACTAAAGTTGTAACCTTAGAACCACATAATTTGCAATATCTTATAGAAAATTTGAAAGAGAAATCTGAATTTGTTTTTCGGGTATTTGCAGAAAATGCTATTGGGCTTAGTACGCCCGCAGTAACAAGGAATGTTACTCTAAAAACTCACGCAAGTAAGTTTATCTAAAAAGTCAATTCAGACCAGTATGATGAAATTTATTATTGCAAGTATATATTATAAATATAACAAGGGTATTTGTTTGTTAGATTTCAATGAAAATTTCACTTATAATACCATATTTTTCAGCTGTGCCATCTCCTCCAACTGCTCCCTTAGAGATGAGAAGTGTAGGTCCAAATAATATTGTGATAAGTTGGGGAATTCCGGAATCCGACGGTGGTGCTCCCATCGAGGGTTACAACATAGCTATTAGAGATGTTAAGAAAACTATGTGGATGGAAGTAGGACGCGTTCAGGCTTCAATTCAGAATTTTACTATCAGGGATTTACAGGAGCAGAACGAATACTTGATACGAATATTTGCGCGAAACGAGGTTGGACTCAGTGATCCGTTAGAGTCCGAGGAACCTTACAAAGTGTTGCCGTCTGCAGGTAATATATTTATAATAATCAACTTAATAGAAATTGAGATTTAGCCATTTATCAAATTGTGCTCATTCATTATGGTAGTGCCTTGTCCAACATAAACTTTTTCTTTGAGAAGTTAAGATAATTAAATAGTAACTACATGTCATAACTAATGAATAATGACATAACATTAATATTTAATTGCAAATAGTATTCTCTAAGCAATATTGATATATACTTATGCATATGATTAGAATTTTTAATGATTTAATGTTTAGTTACAATTGAGAAAATATTGCAAAAGATCTTCTTTTTATTATGTTATATAGAAGTGGACCACGCTGATGAGCCTCGTACTGAACTCACGGAGCCCACAGGTTACAGTACTGAGAACACATTGTCCTGGCTAAGAGAAAATAATATGGATGCCGATATACATTCGTATGCTCGAGGAAGGTTGTTGAGAAAGGATGAATATTTCTTCAGGATATGGCATTATGCCAAACAATTGTTCAAGTGATGAGCGTTCCTAGGTAAACATTATAATAATTTATTTAATCTCCAGAAATAAGAAAGTATCTGTAATTCCTCACCCCGGTTGCAGACAAACCTTGTTTTTGAGAGGTAAATTGAATGTGAATCGTGCGAAGTTAATTTTATTTACTATTATTATTGTCTTATATTGATAAAATTTATGTTTATTTTGAGGAACGCAAATTGATGAGTCCTTTATATTTAATATTTTAGCTTTAAATAACGTATTTATATTACATTGTTCAAAGTTGAGTTAAAAATGATGTTTTAGTGTGTTTCTGTGATATGAAAAAAGTTTTATATGTTATTCAGCCATTTTATCTGATAAAGTATTTTTAATGGGTTTGCTTTTAATTCAAATGCTACATTATGAACATATTTCATCATTTGACATTGGGAGATAATATAGGTGCACAAATCTTGTCTCAGATGGTGAAAGCATTTCATAAAGGGCATTTTTGTTACAAGTTTAATCCTAGATGTGATTGTTGATTATTACAACATTTAAAAATATTATTCAGAATTAGGGTATGTAAATAAAATTAATAAATGAATATATAATTATAATAACGGTTTTTCTTTAGATATCATTCAGATACAATGCTCATTTTACGTAAATTTTTACTGCAGTCATATGATTTTTAATTTAACTTGAATCAATACTAATTTGTTTCAATATTTTATTTTTTATTATGCATGTTGTTTTATGAAAATACATATTTTATTGCTTTATTTTCTATTACATATGTACATGGCAATTACCTATTCATATGGCAAAATTTTTGTTGTTTACAAAAATGAATGAAATTTTTGTATGTTTTACATATAAATTTCACCTTTCGTAAATATTACTTTGAATATTTGATTTTATTTTGGACTGTTTTATTTACAATATTGTAAAAAATATGAAGTAGAAGTATAATACTGATGCAAACTTTCAATCTAATTTGGCACTGTTCATTTAATATGGCATTATATATGTTTTTGTTTTCATTCGCGTTGAAGTTATTTAAATGTTCACTTAAAAACTATTTTTAAATACACTATTTACACACATTAAACACATTTACAAAATAATTTAAAAAAGTCTTACAAACTGTTTTATCACAATATTAAGTTACAGGTCACACGTATTCTTCAGAAGGTTTTACGTTTACGGAACCATTACGCGAACCTATATTATCAGGAAGTTCCGCTATATCCTTGAATACCCCGACAAGGCTTTCAAAGTTTGGCCCCCAGTTCAATAAATAATCCCAACCAAGCGTCGAGCTCGAATTAGGCCCATTCGCTTGATTCGATTTATTGGATCGGTACATTGCCCCCCGCAGATCATCATCTGAAGCGACTAGAGTAGATAAGGAACCCCGAAACGATGAATCGAATGCGTCGTAAGGCGGCGGCGCAGGTGGCGGACCTATGGCGTCCGATCTACTTTTCGTAATTGGGTCTTTATCATCGTCATCGTATTCTATTTCGGAACATGTAAAACTATCGTTTCCGCTTTCACTAGAACTTGATGAGCCTCTGCGTGGAGCTGATGGCGGAGCCGATCTGGGTACCACCTCACTGCTACTGGACACCGCGTCTAATGTAGAAACTAAACTGGACGTGCGTGGAGGTGGCCTGGCTACAGGAGGTCCGGCTTCAACGCTGTCCAAACTTCTCTCGCTTCCCTTATCCACCCCACCCGAACTCGATGTGGCCGCCAGTAGAGCACTTTGTAAAGGTTTTCCGGATATGTCGTGCAGTGTTAGTATTCGTGGTTGCTGAGAACTAAGTTCGCTGCTAGGCGAGAGTCTCGCTAAAGGCGTGCTTCGATGTTGTCTGGCTATTGCTGCTGGCGGCCGCACGGCCGGTCTCGGGGCGTAGTGTTTATGATTAAAGTTTGCAGTAGGCGCTATACCCGTCTTATACTTCCTTGCGGCGCCTGCTTCTCTAAAACCTTTATAATGGTAAACTACGTCGATGTCGGAAGGTGCTATAGATGAAGCATTTTCCAAATCATAATGCTCTGGTGCGTCCGGTGAACAAAGATGCTGATCGTTTGTGATTAGATTGCCTCTTGACTCCTCGCGTTGCTTATTTGCTGTTTCGCGTTCTATAATATCGGGCCGTTGTGGTTCTTTATATTTTTTCGCCAGCAGCTCCGGGCCAAGATGGTGACCGCCGACTCCTCGTATGACGTCTCCATTTTCGTGCAAAAATGAACTAGGATTGGTAGTGCTATCATTATTTTGTGAATTAAGACCACCACCAATGCCATTATGTTTCAGTGTGCCACTTGCGCAAGCTGATGATTTTTCCTTATGCTGTCGTCGAATACGAAAAGCTACAAACGAAACAAGTATTGCTACTAAAAGTATGACAAAGAATACTATAACTAAGGTCACTCCAATACTAAGTGGATCGGGAGCTCTGGCAGCGCCCACACCACTGCGTCCTGTAAATCCACAATTTGTATGTACTTGACCCTTCCAACGTGCAGTTCCTAAAATTCCAGACGATTCATTAGTTAAACTCTGTACAAAATTACTCAAACATCCTTCGTATCCTTGACCACCAATTTTGATATTTATTAAATATGGGTCCAAAAAATCATGTACGCCCGCAGTGTCCAAAACATCTCCTATACGAGAACCATCTAACAACACCCGTAGTGATCCACCAGAAGAATGTAAGCTAAGATTACGCCACGTTCCCGGTGTTGATGTGATTGCTCCTGTCATGTTAACAAATGTTGTTCCGCGGCGGGAAATGTAAATCAAATTTCCATCATTCAATATGACATCCGTATAGTGATTTGAATCTGTTTCTGATTTGATTATACGACCCGAATCACTATTAGATTTAAACATTATTTGAATTGATTTTTCGGACGGCGGTTCCAGCAATTGTTGTCGTCTGTGTTTTTCTGAAATTTCTATTTGTATGTATCCTTCGTTAGTAACTGATACAATATCCGTTGACGATGTTAATTCATTTTCGTCTTGTTCCACTGCGCATGTATTAGATAACCCAGATTTGTGCAGAGTTTGATTCATATCCAACTGTCGTCCATTTACAACAAAGACCAGCATGCAGCCCACGAAATCAAATGCTTGCAACTGTCCTGGTCGATCTAAGATGGGATCTACAGTAGATAATCCTCCAACGTATAGTGGTTGATTATTGAAATTCAGTGTTCTGTAAAAGATATTTTTGTGTTAGACTAACGTTATACACAAATTAATTAAAAATATATATTTCATTGTTTTACTTACCCGGCGGTACCAGTTTCAGCGGAATAGCATCTATTATCTCCAGGATTACATTCTTCGCATCCATCGCCTTGATTATTACAAGCAGATACTCCTAAAGTTGCTACACGGCCTTGTCTAGAAACCACAATCTTCCACCATTTTCCATTTCCCAGATCTTTTCCGGCTTTCACTGTAGTAACGGCACTGCGTGCACCTCCAAAGCTAAATACTGCCACTCCAGACAGAATTTGCAATGCCAGAAAATCGGAACGACCATTTGATGCAATGCCATAATCATACATTAGCAGACTGTTTGGTCTTGTAGTTGAAAAGACAATAGAAATTTCATCTATAGATGAGCCTTCTAGTGATGGAAATGCTGCATATGACAATTCTGGAAAACCAATCGCAGTTTTTTCACACCTCCGTCCGTGCCTGCCACTGGGGCATATGCATTGAAAATCTAGGGCAAAGGCTTTACATTCTCCTCCATGTAAGCAAGGATTTGGCCGGCACACATCGGCCTCTATTTCACAAAATTCGCCCCTGTAACCAGGTCTGCACAAGCAAAATATGGATATACCATCAGGAGCTTCTCTGCAAGAACCACCATGTGCGCATGGATCAGAATAACATCCAGATATTCGATTCGTTTCGCAGCGTTCACCATCGAACCGAGAATTGCATTCGCAATAATATGTATCACCATTTCTTATACATAAACCATCGTTTAAACAGGGATCTCCGCTACAAGGATCGATATTTCGTATACAATTTTTATCTTGGAATCCACTTGGACATTTACATGTATACTCATGTCGTGCGACAGGTCCTGCTAATGTTAAACTCTGTGAATTTTTTATACTGTGTCCGGGATTGATATTTATTGATTCACTACAAATTCCATTGTATGCGCAGGAATCTTTTTTACATTTCGAGATGCCGATTTCTATTTCATTTCCATTAATCAATGTTTGTAATTCTCTTTTTCGTTTCTTCAAATATTCCATTGCATGAACGCTTAACATAGCCTTTCCCGAATTCTCACGTACAGCAAGAAGCACGTCTATGCCAGAATCATATTCCTGCACGCTATAGATCATCAAAACATCATTTTTGTTTAAGTCTTTAATCAAAAAATCATAAATTTTATTATAAAACTTGTGCAAAAATAATTCGGTTGTGGTATTTGCAATATGTATTGAAACCGAATTTTGGAGTGTCGAATTATCGATATCAGTTAATTGTACCGTAATAGTAAACGTTACGTCAGCATGACGTCCATCATTTCCTGTAACACTTAATGTATAAGTTCTTCCTGGTGATAAATGATTTATTGCATGAAGTTCGCACTCACGAGTTACAATAAAGGGATCTTGGCGTTTCATTTGGCAATGATAGTCACCAATTAAATCGGGGTCTCCTGGTCTGACATCCGCCAAAGAAGTGTTCGTAAGTGCTTTATTAAAGGAATATAATACTATCGACAGAGTGCGTGCGAACGAAGGATTGTCGTTTTGATCGTCAATTATGATTTTAATTGCATATTTAGAACGTTGCACTGGCTCACCACTATCTTCTATTTCTATTACGATATCTAATTCTGGCGTGACTTCTCTATCTAAAACTGCCGATGTTTTTAATTCTCCATTATTTTGATTTATGGTGACGTAATCTTTATGTGTTCCTCCAGTTAAAAAATATTTAAAAGGTGCTCCATTGGGTTTAGAATCTGGATCAGTTGCAGATAAAGTCATTATTAAACTTCCAACAGCTTCATTTTCCATAACATGTCCCACCAATTGATTTTGATTCAATACTGGTCCATTGTCATTAACATCAGATAATTTAATTAATACAGTTGTTGTTCCAGTCTGTGGCGGGTTTCCTGTATCTATAGCGGCTACAGTAACTGTATATTCTGGGTTTATTTCTCTATCTAATTTTCCAGCTGTTTCTATTAATCCGGATAGAGAATTAACTTTAAAAACATGACTACTATCTTGTGACAAAATGGAATATACAAACTGATTATTCTGCAAGCGTAAATCTTTATCGAAAGCTTTAACTGAAGTGACAGTAGTTCCTGGAACTACATCCTCCGATATGACAGCTTCATAAAGACTTTTCTCAAATTCTGGAGGGTCATTTCCGTCTTGAACGGATATTACGACTTGCGCTTCATCGATTCGATCGCCGTAGATAGGACCAGCATTTTTTGCCAATACGGTCAGAACAATTCTACTTTGTGTTTCACGGTCAAGTCTTCGAGACACTTTTATTGTGCCATCAGTGTGTGATATAGTAAAACCGCGGTCGTTGCTGGAACCTACCAATAAATAATAAATTAAACCATCTTCACCCATATCTTTGTCCTCAGCTGAAACCTTCCCCACAATTGCATTAATTTCAGACGATTCAGATATCTCAAAATGAAACACTGGCCGATCGAACTTAGGATAAAACTCGTTTACTCCAGATATGTTTATGATTATTTTTGTTGATGTCTTCATAAGCGAATCAGGATTGCTTGCACCTACAGTTAATTCATATTTCTGGCGTTTCTCATAATCAAACATTTTTGTGGACTTTATTAGTCCTGTAGTTTTTTCAATGGTAAAATATTGTCCGCCGTCGCCGCTTACAATAGAATAATGAATGATAGCATTTCTAGCCGAATCTTTGTCAGTGGCAACTATTCTATAAACTTCGCTTCCTATTGGAGAATTTTCTGGCAAATATGTCACATACAGCTCTTTGTCGAATTCAGGTGGGTTGTCGTTTACATCAGTTAACAGAATAGTCAGTGAGGCAGCAGCGTTTCTGGATTCATAACCCAAATCATTCGCAGTTATATTCAATCGATATTCGGGAAAACTATCATAGTCTAGGGGACGAAGAATGGTCACAGCTCCTACAAATGTAAAAATTTTAGTTTACTAAGTCGTTTATAATGAATGTATAATTGAGGATTATTTCATTACCTGTTGCTGGATCAATTGCAAACTCTTTCCGTTCATTGCCGGATGAAATTGCGTAACGTATCATACCATTGAGACCGTCATCTTTATCAATAGCCGATACTGTAATGATGATCGAACCAACGGGTTCATTTTCTGGCACTATTACCTGTTAATAAAATGCTCTTATAATCAACTATTTCATCTATCGATAAGTATAATATATATATATATATATATATATATATATATATATATATATATATATATACAAATTTACCTGATAGCTCAGTGCCGTAAATTCTGGTGAATGGCGATTTTTACCAGCAATAATCAAAGTTACATTTGTTTCATCGTATTTTGATGGCAAACCACTGTCAATTGCTCTAACTTGCATTATGAATTTTTTTCCAATTTCTGAGATAAAAGCTTCAGAAGTAACACTGATCCAACCCGTGCGTTCATTAACACTAAAGTATTGTGTTGCATTTCCATTTATCGCTTTGTAAATCAAGTTATCCATATCTTCAGCATCTTCAGCGTGTACACGTAGTAAACGATGTCTTGGTTTCGATAAGACTGCAATAGGTACAGGACCAAAATATGTATCCTTTGTAAATTTCGGTGGGTGTAAATTTGGTCCAACTACCGTGACAACAATTTGGCATGTTGACATTAACGGAGGCCTACCGCCGTCCATTGCAATTGCAGTCAGAGTGTGCGTATTTCTTATAGAGGCATCGCGGCCAGTCGAAAATTGCAATAATCCGGTACTGTATAGTTCTCCTGAACTTGGATCGATGTTGAACAAATCTGAAGATGAAAGCAAAGAATAGGAGACCGTAGAATAAGGACCCATGCGATCTTTGTCCGAGGCAGACACAACTCCTATAAACGAAAGATGCGCTTGCTCATTTCTAGTTTCAGGAACTGTGAATCTATAAACTTGCTCTTGGAATTCGGGCGCATTATCATTTTCATCTTGAATGCTTATCGTTAGTGGAGTTTCGGCTCTCCAAGCTTCATCTACCGCGGCCACCTGCAGATAAAAAATATATGAAGTAGAATTAAATTATCTTCGACAAAAACAAAATTATTTGTACTTCTATATGATATAATATAAAATATTTATTACCTTTAACAAATATTCATCTTGAACTTCTCTATCTAATGTACCAGCAACTGTGACTTCTCCTGTTATAGAATCTATCGCAAATTTTTCGCCGGGATTATCGACAAAACTGTATGTCGAATTAGAATTTTCACCTTCATCGCGGTCGACTGATGTAAGTCTTATTACAAAATGGCCCGGTGGTGAGTTCTCCGTTACATTGACAGCATAAAGTCTCGTAAAACGTGGCGGATTGTCATTTTTGTCTGTGACACTAATTGACAGAGTTGTGGTACTTGAAAGGCTAGGAAGTCCGCGATCAGTTAACTGAACAGTGAGTTCATAATGTGCTATAGTCTCTCTGTCTAATATAACAGCCGTGAACACTTCTCCAGTTTTGTCATTTATGGTGAAAGAACCATTTGCGTCATCCAGCAAACGATATGTTATATCGCCATTCGCGCCTGAGTCCATATCAGTCGCATCAATTGTAACGACACGTACAGGAGGTATTTCTTCTTCTAAAACTGATACTTCATATAAAAGTTTACTCGGAATGGGCATATTATCGTTAGAATCTTCGACATTCAATACAATACGCAAGGCAGAGCTCAAGGGCGGTTCGTCAGAATCCGCAGCCGCTATCCAAATTTCTATTCTTTTCACGCTCTCATAATCTAAGCCTATTCCTGTTAGATAAACTTCTCCATTTTCTGAACCTACACTAATTGCTCCATTAATATCCCCTCCAACAATTGAATAACGAATCAAACCTCGTGGATTGCTTTTTGGCGAACTGGCAGAAACAGTCATCAAAACAGTTTTGCGTTCTGCGTTTTCTTGAACAAAAAATTCGTCCGTTCTATTACTAGTCACAAAACTTGGAAATAGATGTGCGGGTTTAGTTTGAATTTTTAGAATTGCTGTAGCATTACGGCGCGGGGTGCCGCCATCTGAAGCCGTAATTTCTATATTTCTTGCATTATCTAAAACTCGAACTGTTCGAATAACTCCAGTTGTTTTGTCTATAGCAAAATAAATATTATCATCTTTTCCGGTTAGAGAATATTCAACATGACCATTTGATCCAAAATCAGCGTCGTGCGCCCACGCTCCAAAAACAAATTGACCAATTGTTGAGCGATCTGGTATAACTACTGTGTAAAACGATGATGTAAAATGAGGTGCATTGTCATTAATATCTGCTATTGTAACCTATAAAATAAAATCAACATTATCCGTTTTGTGTCTAGTCTTATCTTATTCAATAAATAGTCAAAACTCACATATATATAATATATATATATATATATATATATATATATATATATATATATTTATTACCTTCAATTCTACTGCGCTTGCCTTAGGGTCATTTGGCGAAGAATCTCGTGCCATTAATGTAAATCTATATTCCGCGATATCTTCTCTGTCCAAGACTTCTGCTGTAACTACCTCGCCTGTTATGGATAAAACACATTCGGTTGAATACGAAGAGTGTTAAAATATTGATTTAAAATTAAAACATAATACAAATGATGTTTTCTAGAACTAAGTGAAATCTTATTTATCTCACCTGTATCGACATTAATACGAAATCTTTCGGAATAATCTCCCAGAAGACTGTACTTTATGATTGCGTTTTGACCCAAGTCAGCATCTGTAGCATGTGCTGATACGACATGGGTGCCGGCAGGAGAATCTTCCATCACAGAAGTTTGATATTGTGGTTTATCAAATTTTGGAGAATGATCGTTAATATCCTCAACAAATACTTTTATGATAGCTGTACCAGTCAGTGTAGGACTTCCTAAAGAGCAAAATATATCAATGAATGAGTGTTAAAAAATTTACACAATATTTGTGATTGTTAATAAAATTCTAACCTTGGTCGGTAGCTAATATCGTCATGGTGTACTGTTCTCTTTGTTCTCTGTCCAACGGCTTAAGAAGTTCTAAATTCCCCGTATCAGAATTCAACAGGAATATACCTTCGTAAGCATCATCATGTATCAAACGATATCGAGGTCTAGCGGCGCCGGGTCCATAGTTTTTTAATGATAGCAAAGCCATGCCGGGTGGAGGTAACCAACCCTCAGAAATACGAATAGTATAAGGCGAATCAGGAAATCTGATAAAAACCATTTTTAAGAAAATGATTGAATTTTAAACATATTTATTTTTTTTATATATATATATATATATATATATATATATATATATATATATATATAGCTTTTATTTACCTTGGAGCAACATCGTTAACATCGGATATTGTGATAATGACTTCTGCGATATCAGTTCTTGTCTGGTTAGGAGCGTCAGGACAATCCTCAGCTAGAATACGTAATTTATAAAGTGATCGTCTTTCAAAATCTAAAGTTCTGGTAACTCGTACTGCCCCTGTATCTTCCGACACAGTAAAGTCTCTAGAAGCATCTTCAGAATCATCATCATGCAGTATCGAATAACGCACCCGGCCGTTTCTTCCAAAATCTATGTCTGTTGCAAAAACCTGTAATAAAGTTAGTCGTTTATCAATATATTTTCAAAGGAGTAGGAATGCAATTGGAATTAAATTCTTATTATTGTTCGTTTTCGGTAAGGTTTATTTAAAAGATGTTTAACCTGCAGCACAGTAGCGCCAACACTAGCGTTTTCCGGAACGCCGGCACTGTAATGTCTTGGTGAAAATGCGGGTCCATTGTCGTTTTCATCGCGCACTAACACTGACAATGTTTGTATGGAACTTTTTGGTGGTTCGCCTCGATCTCTCGCAGATATTTTCAGGTCATATCTATCGCGCTTTTCTCTATCCAGAGATCCTGTCACAATCAATAATTTTAGTGCATATAATTAAAGTAAGTACAAAAAATAGTTACCTTTGATATTCAATATTAAACTTTACAGTTTTTGTATCCTTTAAAGATTACTAAAACTTTTTTAATAAACCATTTGAATTTACGATTATATTGCATATGACTAGTTTAAAATTCCTGAAGAAAATGCTATAATCAATTAGCATGTATTCAATAATTTGCAATTGTATATGCGATATAAAATCCAATGTTTTTGTGTATTGTTCTCTATATTAACTACTTCGGTACGAGTGACAAGTATACTTGACGGCCGCAAAACGCCCCACACAGCCGGGCGTCACGTTTAGTGGACGGCTGTATTATGAACGCCGTTTGCGGCTTATAGACGCCATACCGAAGTGGTTAAATAATACTATCTAACAATGTATGTATATCTAATTACCCGAAACTCTAAGAAGTCCGTCGATTGTCCCCAAGGAGAATATACCGCCATCAGTTTCTACAATTTGATACTCTACATGACCATTTCTGCCTTCGTCTTTGTCGAAGGCCTTCACAGTCATGACGACAGAATTCAAAGGTGCCGCTTCTGAGACCCATACTGACGTTGGTGACACAAATATAGGGTACTCGTCATTCACATCGTCCAGCAATATTGTGACCTGTAGGTAAGTCAACCCAATTGTTCGGTGTTCTTATTAAAGTGACAACTGATTAAGTATCTAAAATAATTTTATAAACTAGCTGTAAGTGGCAATTTGTCTGATATTTTCGATATGTGAAATTACACGTACAAAAGGTCAAACGATTAGAATGACTTCAAGTGCCGACAAAATGTGAATCTAGTAGTAAGTCGAATTTTAAATTTTTGGAAAAAAGTTTTTAAAGATTTGGAAAAAAGTGTTAAATTGAAATCTTGATTTGTTTGGACAATCAACCATAGATAATAAAGAATATATCTAATATATATCGCTCAATGCGCCTCTATTCGGCTACAATATTTAATCTTCGATCCGCCATCGTATTAAGTTTCTTTTGTATATTATTTATTTATAAATTTATTTATTTTTTGCGATCAATGCAATGTAGAATTTCATAAAGAATTCACACGAAGAACGAATCTGTGATTGGATTTAAATTGGTTGCTGTACTTGATAAATGGATTTTCTTGCGGTGTTTGACGCGAATTTGGTCGGGAACTCATAATAAAGATTCTTTACGTCGTTCGTCGTTCGTCGTTTTTTATTCTTTACAAATGCATTGACTCAGTTCGGTTAGGTCGACTAATGGATTGATGGCAATGTTTGCCGAAAACGCGATGCGGATTAATGCGATTAATCTTCTTGTTCTTGGCTCTGGCTCTATCAAATAACTATTAACCGGGTTACATTTTTCTCATTCAAGGAAGTTGAATTAATTGACAAACGAAAGGTAGCAATTTCATAATTATATCGAATTTATAATTTTAAATAACATCTCGATATTTTTTAAAGTATTTTATGATATCTTGTATAGTAATTGATATTATGTTTTAATGATTGACAAAAGAAATTAAGTATGATACTTAAAACTTAATTTGGTTGTAATTTGTCTTTGTATACATGCGTTGTTAGTAATGAAATATTTTAATTTATATCAATGCTATCACTAGAATTAAAAATAAATGTTAAATATATACTTAAACTAGCCGGCCCGACAGACTTCGCCCTGTCAAAAAAAATTGTAATGTGGGGTTGTTTTGTGCCTACCTTTTTTCTATTCTTTGCAAAAAATTATCCTGAACAGAACCGTCACCCTGGTAATAATTCGTTGTGAATTAAAAATAATTAAATAAAACACTATAAGCATTTAAAAGTAAGTAATTTTAATAATGTAAATCATAATTCAAAAATCAGTTCAATTTTCATTGTAGTGCTTTGTGATAAACGATGTTTTTAGTTTGATTACCTGGCGCATAGACAAACAAATCTGATGGTTTTCCAATATGGGAACAAACAACATACAATTTTCCATGTGAGAAACATGGGTTTTCTAAATTAATACCACAAACACTTAATGATACCATAAACGCACTGGAAACGCATTGGGATGCATGGTGCGAGAACATCTCTCTTCTGATTTATACTATCTTTTGAATATAGTTGGTCGATATTTTGCAACATTATAATTGCCGATCCAACCTTTGATTGAAAATTATGAGGTGACAATCCTAGCAAATCCAGCGAGTTTAAAAACTCCGGTAGATCGTCTTGGTTAGTTGCCGAATCAACTGATTCGCCTGTAATTTGTTCTTGAATTTTGAAATTTAATTAATTTACATCAATGTTTTTGGCTGCCAATATAGCTTGATTAATAGAAAGATATTTCTATGTTTATATAAATATATTCAAAATTAGATTATCAAAAACTACACAAAATGTCATGACATAGATCATTGTTTTTTTACAAATTGCGTTGCCTACTCGATTAAAGAAGAAAAGGGCTGTTTTTAGAATTTTCCCGCCAATTATTCGTTTTTTTCTCGCCGTAACAACCATCCTTGGACTTCAACGAACATTTTAAAAAAAGAATTGGCCAAATTGGTCCAGGCGTTGTTGAGTTATGCGCTTACTAACACATTTTGCAATCCATTTTTATATATAAGATATATCATCGACACATGTGAATTTTCATTAATATTTTCATCAATCAACAACTTACTTATAATATATAATATATATTTATATACTTTTATTATTGTGGTGTGCGGCTGCTTCTAATACATAAATATGTATATTCAAAATGATTAGCTTTCACCTATGCGCGAATATAAATAGCAAGCAAATATATAAAATACAGTATATAAATCACATCACCTACATGTGTTTGTACGACAATATTTATTGGCTGCGATAGCTAAATGTTCACATGAATTATTTATGACTTGACACTACAGTTAGTGATGTACAAGTCTCACACTTATTGACACGTTAAATTAAACATTACCATATTTAAGAATTTACTGGATTATAATTGGACTAAAAAAACTATATATATTTCGATGTTGATCATTTACCTGTGCCGTGCTTTGCAGTCTTTTAGCGACATTTGGTGCTTGGTCGACTGCTACTACGGAAAATGTGTACGATGAACGACTTTCGCGATCTAACACACGTTGGGTTCTTATAATTCCGTTTGAATCAACGCTAAAATCGCCTGTATCATCTCCATTTATGGTGCTGAATTTCATTATGCTGTTTGCACCTGGAAAATAAAAGACTAATGAGGATAAGTTATTGATTAAATTCATCGAAACATTTTGCACCGAATCCAAATTGGTCAATCATTTTCTACAATCAGTAGAAATCTATTAAAAGTTCCAACAATTTTCTATATTTGATTCCGCATTCAACATTAGCTGATATTTATCTCAAAATATTCCATCTGATATTCGATACTGACCGCTGTCTTTGTCTGTGGCTATAAGTTTGATGACTTCGCTTCCTTTTGGAATGTTTTCGGGAATTCTCTTGGTGTAGGTCCTTGGTTCGAACGCTGGTGCGTTGTCGTTGACGTCGATGACGTTGATGTACAACATCGCGGTCGAAGTCAAGGCGGGCGAACCGGCATCCTGGGCCTGGACGACCAGCACGTAATGCTGGATCTAAAGAAATTAATTGTCTGATTTCATATCTTAATAACTGGGATCTTTTAGTTTATTAGTAGGTTTTTAAAACAAAGTTTGGTGTTATTTTAATTATTAAATTCTGATTTTAGGTTATTTGTTACATATACAGGGTGTCCCTGAACTCAACACTAGCCGAAACGTTGTGATAGTAAAAATTAGAAAAAAAAATTATCACACGTTGTTACAAAATTATGAGCGTTCAAGTTCAACTTAAAAATATACTACTAAGTTTCAGTTAAAATGGTAATTTCCAATCAACGTAAGATTTTTTATCAATTTTTTTTCAGGACAGTTACAGACAATATCTCGTTTCGACTTGATGTTGAGTTCTGGGCACCCTGTATAATTGCAAATTGTTAAAAAAAAAAACAATTTTGTTTTAAATGATTAAAATGTTTAGAATGCTTTTTACGAAATAAATTAGATACTTTCGCATAGATTTACTTCAGTAAAATATTTGTTACGATGCTAGGGAAATTGATTAAAACGATATAATATGGAACACGTATTAAATGGCGATAAACGTAAATCAACATAATTAAAAATATATATTTCTGTACAAATACGTGTATGTGTATAGAATCCAGTTACATATATCTACATATATAAACCGGCGCGTGTATATAATTTTATACAGCATCACGTTTTAAGTTTCCTTCATACGAGATCATCAAATAAATCAATCAACTTCCAAACCACACATAAAATTTTATACAAATAATCTCTAAATATATTTTAATATGTGTATTTACTGTGACAACTTCATTGCTTAATCTCACTATCGAATAAAAAAACATAACTGAAAAAAATTAAGTTCACATAAATAAAATACCGGAATTTATTGCCGTAGATTTTAATGCTTTTAGATTTTATATCATGAAAATATTAAGTGGACAAAGGATTCCTCAAGTCATGATAACTTGTTGAATGATTAGTTAATAACTTGAGATATAGTTATCCATAATGAAATTCTATCAATTTAATTGTATCAATAATTTCTTGGGTGTATCATGCGTGATTAAAATTTGTTTGTGTTTCGTCTTGTGCTTGTGATTTTGTCGTCGAATCGAGGCGGCAGTAAATATTAGAAAATCTGTCATAAAATGTGACATTTATGGACATTCTCGTCACTGTCTACAGCAGTGTTATTAAATTGATACATGGATCGATTTTATTGATTCCCGAAATCTTCAAGTGTGATATGTCTCATGAATATTCAATGCGGTTGACGCAACCGAAGTTAAGTCGGAGACGAGATACTGAACAGACTCAATTTTAAACATTCTTTCTGATTGCTAATTTTATTTATATTAAATATATAATATAAATGTATGATTCAGATATTTTTGAACATGTTTCTCCTACCGATTTTTAATTTTAGATATTGTATATTTTTATGAAGCATTATATATTATAAATTATATATCGAAATTTCTGTGACAAACAGATTAATCGGAAATAATTCATGAGAAACGTGAGTGCTTTGCATCATAAAAATATAATGTCAATACAGTATATCATTTTATTGTCCATTTATTATGTTAAATTATAATGTAAAAAAGTGACAGAGATAAACATGTCAATTTGAATATTGAAAATTTATTAATACCAAAATGTGGACGAACTTATTCGGTAATTTGTTAAATTTACACATGGTATGAAGAAGTTTCAAAATTAATTATAATTTGTATACGGCCAATTTTTTTATGTTCTAATATTTATGTGCAGGGTTTGTTTTGTTTTTTGTTATATATATATATATATATATATATATATATATATAACATTTACAACTGTTTAGGACATTTAGCTAATTTATATTGTCTGTTGTATAAAAGATTTTGTATTGAAATAATGACATGGGGCAAAGATCCTCAATAGATAAATTATAACTACAATAAGTATAATAGAATGTATAGTTTTAATTAATAAAATTAAGATTTAAATTTAATTCTCATCGAGTTGATTCAGATCAAGTGTCGATTTTCATTTCAACATATATCATTTACCTCTTCATAGTCTAATTTTCCCGCCAGGGTTAAGAGCCCTGTGACTGGATTCAGTGAGAATACATCAGAGCCCCATTCGGGGAGCAAGGAATACGATACCCTGGCATTGACTCCCGAATCTGAGTCAGTGGCCACAACTGTGCCGACAGATGTCCCCCTCAAAGAATCCTCCAGTACGTCCATGGAATACCAAGACCTCGAAAACACAGGCGCATTGTCGTTCGAGTCGAGTATCTGGAATTATGTAACAACATTGCATTCGATGAATTGACATGATACTGAGGTACAACCAATAAAAGTAACTCGGTGACGGTAAAATGACACTACGAGCTCTGTTTAGCTTTAAATTTTCATTATTTTTGCCAATGTGTTGTTTCCGGCTAACATCCTAGCCTTCATTCAGATTTTACAATATTGTTTTATTATTTGAGGATAAATTGTAAGTTGCTTGTATTTTTTCTTAAAATATTACAAATTATTTAATTAATTATTGTAATTGACAGAATTTTCCACTGAATGAAAGCTAGAATATTAGCCAAAACATATGGATTTTAAATAAATAAATTCCAAAAACGTTTATATATTTATGTAACGCTCGATCTTTAATTTCAAATAAAATATAATCTATATATATATATATATATATATATATATATATTATTTTGGGTAGAAAAATTTAAGGTATTCACGGATGTGTGTTAATATATTATATTAATGCTATATATTATTTTTTTTAATTTATTAGTCTTTTTAGATTAGACTTCAATTTCCAGTATGTATATCATAAAGGCAGACAATGAATTTTTGTACATCTACATCTATATTTACAGATATATCTAAAAATATTGCGTAACCCGTAGCATTAAAATAAATTGAGCTCTTGGAAATAAATTAGTTCTAAAAATGTAGTAGTGTATGAATTTTTTAATATAGATATTTTAATATTTGTGTTTGATATGTTACATAATTTGATGTGGCTGATTTGGAATTCGTAGTATATTTAAATGTTAAGTGTGGGAATTGACTATTATATATATATATATATATATATATATATATATATATATATATATATTTCCAAAGAAGAATAGTGTTACTGGTGATATTAGCTTGAATTTTATTATTAATTTTACATTTACTGCATAATTTAATAATAGGCATATATGTAATGTTATGGAACAAAGCATTTTTTTTTCTTTAATATTTGGATTTATTTATTAATTAAATTAAAAATTTGCATTATCATTATTATTTTATATTACATAAATCATCCTGGCTAAAAAAATTATACGTGAAGGTTTCCTTACATATGTGCAATGGATTCAACCATTGAATAATATCTATTTATTATGTGATATGCATTTCTAGATTTCTGATCATGCAACCCTAACACTGTCACCTTCAGTTTGTGCAAGACTTGTCCTTGGGGGTCAGTCTGCGCTGTGCATCGGTAAGTGTAACATTGCTCGTCGGACATGATACTGAACGCAAATCAATTAATACGATCAACTTATAATGGTTATAAGCCGATTAAGACAATAGAAAATTACGATATTTTCTACAGTGTGTGTTGTGAAAATTTGGAGCCTATGCAGGAGATTTGTAGCTGTCAAGGTAAGTACATAATTTACACACGTGCTTTTTAATTTTAACCCATGACGTACTCGTTTCTTTATATTCAAGATTTGATGGATTTGAGGCTAATAAATCTTTTGATTGGTAAAATGGATAAGATTTAGGTGTGATATAAAGGAACATGATATTTACTCAGAAATTCATTCTGTTCTGTTAGGCTCGTGTGCTTCACGACAATTGTAACATGAAGCAATCATTTTGGATTGCTCTTCTACGTAAATCCATTTCATGAATCCTATTATTATTTTGATTATTCAATTTCTTCACCTGTATGGTGAGTTCGGCGTCTGTGTGCTGCAGGCCGTCGTCTGCCTTGACGAGCAGCCGATGCTCGGTGGCCAACTCTCTGTCCAGGGGCTGCAAAAGGCTCACCGAGCCCGAATCTTTGTCGATGGCGAAGTATCGGGTGTCGTTTAAAGAATATTTTATTACTCCCGTTGTGTCTGCGTCCCAAGCGCGAACTACTCCCACGATCTGAGGAAAAAAATTAGGGAATATCAATTTAGCAACACATGGGATTGATATATACTAGTGTCATGTCATGAGATGTATCAAGTCGGTTTGGTCTAAATTCTCATATTTTTCTGGAATAATAATTTATAAAGTTATATATCGATCTATAGATTTTAGAATCTATAGATTCTGATTAAAAGAAACAGATTTATTTTATAGAAAATTGACATTTTAATGTAACATGAATTCGGTTTTTTATTTTCCCCTGGTAGTTTTGTGCCAAGTTTAGATAATCCTCGAGGCGACTTCTATAATTGTCTGAATGTGTTTGTCTGAATGTCTTTATGCATTAAACAATTGTATGATTCTGTCATCTTATATATTTAAGACATTTAAATAAAAATCAATTCATTTAGGCGTACTCTGATTATACATTATATAATGTTATATTTTTTAAATTCACTTCTGCGATACGAACTCGATGCTCCAGGAATATCTACAATAGTTCGATTGCGTAATTTTTACTGAAGCTTGAATTATAGATTCTCAAATACTTTTTGGTTCGTGGCTGTCATGAATGATCGAGTATTTTTTGTTGCACGCCTGATATAACTGACTTTTGTCTAAATTTTTGGAAATGTATGTGTGTATGTGTGTGTGTGTGTGTGCGGATACAAATTTTCGTCGACGATTTCGGGAACACGGTTCAACCGATTTCAATTATTCAAAAAACATTCGATTGCTGTTAATGAGGAGACGTGTTGATCAGTTTTTGGCATAGGCAAATCTAGCCGTTTTGAAGATTTGGGGCAAAAAGTACCACAAACGGTAACTCAGTTTTTAAGAGAACGGAGCGTCCGACATTAATAATTCATAAAACATTTTACTTGTAGTCACAAGATGAAGAACTGAATAAATTTTCATAAAGTCTTCGCAGATCTAGTGAAAAAAGTAAAAAAAAAATGCCATTTGGCGGTCAAAAATGATCATTAGACACATGCACATCAAATTATCAGATATTTTTTAGAGATTTTAACAATGAGTATAAATTTTGTTTACATTCTTATGTGTTCCGTACCTATGTTCATCCGTTGGACGGCGACGCGGCGCTTACGCGCTTCAATATTTCGTTTTTATGCAGTTAAAGCAGTACGATTACTTTAAAAAAAAGTTCAGAATTTCCAAAATATTTCAAAATAAAGAAAACATTCTTTTTCAAAAAGTTTTCTTTATTTGTTTTCAAAAAAGTAAATTTTTGTTAAAAATTTATAGTTTCTTAAAAATCTAATTTTTTCAAAATAATTTTTTTTCAAAAATGTTAATCTTTAAAAAAAAATAGTACGGGAAGTTCCAGGAATTTGCGTTAAAAGGCACGATGCCATGCGCCTCACTAGTTTATTTGATATATTAAATAATATCCTCTAAATGCATGAATATCTGTTAAATAATTGGGAAAAGATAATAAAACTGTTGCAGTTGCTAATTTTTGGTACATATACCAAATTTGGCTTAGTGGTTTGTTGTATATGTGTAACAATAAGTTTAGGAATCATCTGCATCTGTCTATTATTATGATGTGTATCGCAATATCGATACTGTTAACTCACTTGTCCGGGCACTAGATCTTCGGAGACTGCCAATAATAACGGAAGATCTCGGAACTGCGGCGGTGTATCGTTCTGATCCAGCACAGTCACGCGAATCTGAAATCAGAAAACGGACAATTGTTATTGTTGTTGCTCGGCTGGTACAAATACAAAGCCATACAAACAACATTGCAACACTATTTAATATTAACCTATTAAATGCAACTATAATTCATCTGTACGATTATTAGAAAATTTATACAGCCATTGTAATGGACTTTTTGAAATCCAGGAAAATGTTTGATTGTCTTTCACAATAATAACTAACACATCAGGGCGTCTAGAATTTGGTGAAATCAGATATGGAATTGCGTGTACGTTTTTTTTATTTCAAAGATATACTATGATGTTAATTTAGAATTTTACAATTTCTGCTTGATTTTCTTCAAAGGTTTATGCACATAAACAGAACAAATTTATGATTTTTTTTCTGTATGCATTTTTTTAAGTTTTTTTTTACAAATATCTTATGTAGTTTGTTTGAAACACCATAAGACAGTATAATATAATTTGTATGTAACAAATTTGTTTTTGCAGTAAGAAAATAACACGTTTAGGTTCGAATAAAACATCCATGCACATTTTTTTAAATTTTTTACAAAAATGCTATATGTACTGTACGTATATATTTTATATAGATGATAATGTACTAAATTTTCTATTAGACGTGTGTAATAATTTATATGCTATTATACAAATTTTTTATGAAAATCTGTCGCGAAGGATAGAAATTTGTTTTTAAAGCAAGTTTTTTTAATACTTGCATAAACACTATAAGATTTTATTACAGTTTTTTACAAACATCTTACTTAGTTTTTGAAATGTTATACATTATTTTATGCATGAAATTCTAGACATGACGTTATATAATAAGTTTTAATTTATTATACAAAGTGTGCAATTCATGAGTAATTTATCTAGTACTGTTAATTTTTTTCTATTTACTTTCGATCAAATTATTGTCAAAAACATTCATCGAGTTATAGTTCGCCTCTGTTCATAATAAGCAATAGTAAAATGCGTAATAAGATAATTTGAATCGTTTCGCTTATTATGATGTTACATTTTCAATTGTAGGAAGTATTTATTATATTTACGTTATTGTGCTGGTGATGTAATGGCTTTTTGAGAACGAACTTCAAATAACTGTTTACAATGTCGAAGTAGTATTCCATGCATGCTATTACCTATTAGCAAACTAATAATCCAATTATTGAAAGGAACATGTACTTAAATCTGCCCTTATTGTGAAAGAAATCTGCATGAAATGATGAAACTTTACAAATGGACTTCTGATACATCTTTCCAACTCTGTTTTAAATATATAAAATAAACTAAGCTAAATGGAGAGAGATAATCCACTTTATTGATGGTCCGTACCAAGCAAATTGCGGAGAACTGGTTTAAAATCATTTTTAAAGACACTCGTAAATCTCTCAACACGGTTGATAATTTTTACTTTCCATTATTTTACATTTTGTATCAGTGTTCTTGTTTATTGTTTTATTTATCGCATTTTATTCCTTGGCTATGTAATCAATTTCAATGAATTCAAAAATGAAATCAAAAATTCTTTTATGTACCTATCCTTATCATACATTGTCAAATTATTTGAATTTTATATTGAATATGAATATAAATTATAATTAATTAATTTTATAATTTTTTTCAATGCACATCTCATGATATTTTTAAATTCGAAGTTAGTTGGATATTGAAAATAACTCAGGTGTCGTACATGATCTTCAGATGATATAAACACCTGCATATGGATATTACATTACTATTTACAAGAATATCAATTCTCGCTCCTTTTCTAGATTATGAACATTTTATCAGTATTTAGCCATAAATAATTTTTTTAAAGGTTTTCTTTTGACTAAATTTTAATTAATTTTAATTTTAACTAATTATAAGATTCGATTTTTTATTTCACAAAATATAATTTGAATCTATTTTCAGTTTAGTTGTCTTAAATTGGTATTTTATTTAAATGGGTCTTATTACTAAATAATACAATTTGGTGTTGCTAGTTGAAGAGTTGTTTCTTAATTCATCTTATTGCTGTTTAAGAACGCGAACTGATAATTAAACTCATTGTGAAGCGTCAGAATATAAATTTAGATGGTGTAATAAAAACAAAATATACAAAAGAACAAATTAATTTAGAATAAAAAAACGCGCGGAAATAAATTACATGCCGCTGTCATGAATATTCATAACGCTTGTATTTAGATATCAGTAGATGCTAATATAACAGTAACATAAATAAACACATGTCCGGCAATGAGTTCATTCATTGTGTGTCTCTGTCACGATTAGACAATTCTGATTAGTCTGATGGACATTCGAATATTGTTTGGAATTAATTAACGAATGTATTAACTCTATTGTATTAAATAGCGATTTTATTGTCGTCGAGAATTAATTAATTTATTGGCGGCTGCATGCTAAAACGTTTGACCCATATTTTGTCGGAAGCTATTTTCTGCACTCTATTGCGGAACAAAGCGATTATGCCAAAACGATAATACTTTATTTCAGTTTTATTTATTTTAATTTGAAAAAAAGTTTAGTGCTTTTAATATACAGATATTTTGGTGTTTCTTTGCTCCCAGAAGCTCAAATGCTTCCAAATTGATAAAAAAAAATCTCTGAAAATTTTAGATCTTAATATTGACTTTAAGATAGATAGTCCGCACTTCAGCCAAAGTTTCTTATGGAAATAACATGGGTGAAATTCTATTTATTTTTAAGAATTTTATAACTTAGCGACAAGTGAATAAAAATTTTCAGAATAGCATTATATTTGCTTATTTTGAATATAATTTTTAAAAAATGCAACAAAAATTTCATATATTTTATAAAATAAGTATTTACAAAAAGAACCAAGAAACTTAAGTTAATCTTAGAGTTAATAATAAGATCTAAAACTTTCAAAGAATATTTTTTATCAACTTGAATTTGAAGGAATTTTGAAAACATCCATATTAAGGACCACTCTTAATGAAGTAATTGTTGGAAAAAATTCTTTGGCGACTTTGATGAAACTATATTATCATGTAGATCAGGTTTTGAACATTGTAGACTCTAAAAATTTATTGAAACTTGAAATAATCAGCTACATAAAAATTCTATCGTGACGACTGTAAATCTCTTGCAAATAATGTAATGCCACTTGCAAAGTGCTGGAGTACTTGTTAATTTTATACACATCGTAATGTTATAGTTGGGAAATTTTATTTAGTAATCTATATGTTGGGTTGATCAAATTGAACGATTATTCAGGACTACATGTCAGGACTTAAAAGTGTGTGACCTTAGAATTCAGAGACTTTTTGTATCAAAATTCTGTAGAAACTTTTGCTGTCGTGTAAATATAAATACGCTACCTACAAGTGTCTGTGATTTACAGATTTTCATGATGCTGAATGATCGGTCATCGTCATCGTCATCGTTTTCGTTTAAGAGTGTCCGAAGCTTGTGTTCATGTTGATGTGTTCCACCCACCTCGGGAAGATCGCGCAGAGAGCGCACTTATTAGTACGTCTAAAATGTGCTTTCATCGCAGGCACAACAAAGCGAAGAATCATGTGAAATACGAGTAAGAACGGACGCACTCGCAATAAATAACACACGAGGGCCGTTTTTATTCCGATAGTAATTTCGTTCAGTTTACGCCATGACGCCGCGGGCCGAGCGATTCCACGGACGCAGATTGTAGATTTTTAAAACGAAATATCGACTTTTATTCATCACTATTGCGCCGGTGGGTACGCACAATGGTTTGCGATCGACGTTTTACATCCCCGAAACGGCACAATATTACAGGAGATCAGAGATGCCTTCTTATTAACTGCCTATCTCAATCGAACGAGATACTGATAAATTCACGTATTTTTTCATTGCCAATTACCGTAATTGGTCTGGCCACTATACTAATGCAAAATGAGAACGATGATCGAGTCCAAATGAGAAATTTTAAACCCCAAAGTAGCTTAAGTATTCAAATGCATAATTAACATTTGTATTTATATTTTAAAATAATAGTTGTAATAAATAGCATTATTCAGACTAGGGATAGAATTCAATTTATATGTATCAAACTCTATACTGCTTTTGGTCCTAAATTCAATAGTATTCAAAGCATTCGTTGATCTCAGTTTTATTATAAAGTACGGGAATTAAACTCTACTATACCGTTTTATTACTTTTTCAATTTCTCATTTGTTTTTGACAATTCCATTGTTATGCCTTTATTTTAACTCATATTGTGAATCTGACTTTGCGAAAGCGTATTAAACATAATTCCAGCAGAATCAAAATTAATTATTAATTAAATTAATAAATTTTATGTGGCCATTGTTTTATACAATTCAACTTAAAACAATTCTAATTGCGTGTCGAAACGAATTTAAATTCTATAATTTGATGTAAAACATAAATACCTTTTCGTCTGAAAAATAGGTTCATATCTAAAAGCTTAACATATATAATACCGATGCCATTTATGGCCATTAAATCGATAATCCCATGAGCAAATTGATCGCGTGATAAGCAATCATTCAGAAAATATAACATAATTGATTATATCTCGAGATTCTTCTATACTTCGAATAGAAAAAGTTTAAACAACTCTAAAAAAAATAGTGGAGAGAGTTCTAGTTATTTTGAGAAATAAAAATCATACACATAAGAATCAAATATATTATTTACCGATTTATTCATTATCTTTATTGTTTGAAATGTAAATTGAATCCTTAGTAGATATTTATTAAAAATGTTTTAATTACTTTATTCAATTCCTTTGCATATGTTGTATAAATGTGAAAATGATGGATGGTAGTGTGATGTTATTTGAATATGCATTATCAAAGGCCGTGAGGTCGAATCCCGTTCTAGGACAACCGTAGTGATATCAATTTTCACTTGAATTTAAAGATGAAGAATATATTTCCAATTGGAAATAGCGCATTTCGGACTCTGCGGTGTGAATTTACAATGGGAAATCTCTCGCAATATTCTTTACTGACTCGAAAAAAATATTTTTATTATTA